AGACAAGCAGACATGCCTACATAGCTATTACAAAATGTCCCAACACACCGAAAAAATCACCAGAACTCTTAAAGCCTACAGATATTAGAGATACGCCCAGACCAGTACCGTAATTGTGACTGCTTTAGAAAGAAATTCGTTAAAAAAGGCAACAAATATACTTTCCAATATATCGCTATACACCTACGCACGCATTTAAACATGCAGTCTGGAAATCTCAATTGGACGCGCTTGTCATATGACGGAAAAATCCGAGGCAAGTAAATGAATGAACATTAACGGATTAGAAGTAAGAATGTGAACCCCTCTTTATACCATCCAACTCACAAAAGCACCCTCAATTTGGGTGTGGATACGACAGAGAAAATATATACATTTCTTGCTGTGAACTTATAACTTCATAACCTCTGGCGAAACCTCACATCCTTTCTCTTCTTTAATTAATTTCACTTAGCACTAATATGGCTTATTACAACTTCGAGGCTTGCACACAGACCAATCATTGCATTTCCAATCGCAAGTTGTCAAGCGGAGGATATCAGTTTAAAATACGTGTTATTCATAATAAATTCAGTTGTCTTCTATAAAATGGAAAGTATAAATAAAAAAACAGCATGATTTAATCAAAATGGGAATCAATAAGCTATCTTAGCCTTTTACTTGATGTCGATTTCACCAGCGTCCTTTTCTGCTTGCTAATTCAAACGTTTCTCTTCCCTAAATTCATCTAGACATTGACGAATTGAAATGAAAATCTGAGAGGAGAGAGCCTTGTGCCAGAAGCAGTCGTGTAGTGAATTCCTGCTCCACTCACGTGCACGCACTTCACAGTATTGATCTCAACCGCAGCTAAAATGACATTTTGATATTAACGCATCACTCTTTTTACTTGCTAACAATTGTGAAGCTGTGTAATAGGGAGGTCAAGCAACTCACTTATATGGATTTTGAAAAATTGACGGAAGGTCTTTAACTTACCATATACAGATATTAGGTTAAATGAATTGTTACTCGACAAAAGGTTCATAGATTTGTTGGGTTTACTATGAGATTTTCGTTAATTAATGAATAATTGGTAGAAAAATTCATGAAGTGTATAAAAACGAGGTTTTTTAAAGCACATGTATTTTATTGCTTAAAGCTTCATTGTATTTTGATCCTTGGTAGAACACCATGGGGTGACATAAACCTAATTTGGCTCCTTATATCAAAGTTTGTGCTTTTCTAAGCTTGTACACGAAAAAACTTTAGTGCGATTCACCGTCTAATAAACACCAATTTGATGAATAGTTTGAGAATAGATTATTTAATTCCAATTGCTTTAATGATATTTTTCACCTTTCCTCATCCATTTCACCGCTAGTGCTCCATTTATGAGCATCGTATTTCGCATATGCATTTATGGGGGCTTAAGGCAACATCTCTAAGTTTAAACAGATCTACTGTGTTCTCCCTATATAAAGTCGAATATTTCTGTTTTGGTTTACAAGTACAATTAAGTTAGATCTATATAGTTATAAATTATATTAATCTAACAGTTCACAAAACCATTCGTTTTTTTATGCAAGCTTTAGACTGTCTTCATTTCCATTGAAATAAATTGACCAACCTGCTTAAATATTTTATTTCAGATTCAGTTATTCGTAGCGCATGTATTATAAAAATACTATACACTATTGTTGGGGTATGCCTTTTGGACTAGAGGCATTCAGCAAATACGAATCGCATGACTGATCGGATACTATGGGCCTCCGTGGAGTAAATGTACTCTGAACACTTGCAACCGTAATACATTTACTTCTTTTATTATCACTATCCAATAAAGCATGTCCTTGTCCACCCTATCTGCTTGTTCCATATATATGAAGACTGAGGTGGAGGAGGGAAACACCGACTTTTGCATAGGTACCTGTGGGGCAATATTTTCAGCAAAGGTTCTGGAAACGCACTGTTAATTTAACTTGCTTGGTAGAAAGAATTAAAGAAAAAATTTAAGATGCAGTCACCATTACCAGTAGATTTCAGCAATGATCGGAATATCACGCCTTGCATGTTAAGTAAAGAATCAGCTGCTATATCCAATGCTAATCCATCATCGGATTCAAGCAAATTTTACGTATAGGCCTCAGTGTTTCACCGAAATCATCGCGAAATCTGTGATTAATTTACTGGCTACAGGGAAACCATTACAGAAAAAAATTCAAAAGCATAATCAAGCCCACTGAATATAAAGGAATCACAAGAATCGATTAATTTCCCCTAATACTCTTCACAAAAATAAAACCACCTCCTATCTACCTACCTACCTCGAAAGTGTTTAAAGGTCAATCAGTTTTCACTCATTGAGGCATTTAATCCAACTTTAGTACTCATGCATCAATAATTAAAGGATTTAAAGCAATTTACAGGCTGACTAATTGCTTCTTATCTTCGTATATCTACCTTCTTGTGTTCTGTCTAGTATTTTGGGTTTGTCTTTTCAAATGTTACGATGTTTCCTAATACAACCTAATTTTCGCATTCCAAATGATAATTTGTATTGGTACTTAAAATGATGTTGAAGTGATGTAAGCTTGAAACATGAGAATGTGTTCGTAGGTGTATAAGTTAGGCATCAGGAACTACAATTCCAATTAACCCCAAGCAGGTTGTCATTATTAATGATAATTCAAAAGGTCTAATTGTCGTTTATTAATGGCCATGATTGACACCCAGTTTTAGCTTACAACACGTGTTGCTCTTTTCAGTTGGTTAAGGTGCAGATAAATTTATTCCTCTCTAGCGGTAAATAGCACTGAATGTTGTCCCTGACAAAACGATTCGGAACTACCTAGGTCAAATTGACTTGTACCACCTGCATATTTTTGAGTGTTTCATTAATAAATGGGAAGCTATTCAGATCATTTGTAGGCCGTAAAAGAGCACTTTAAAGTGAGCGCAGACAATAAGCTGCATTGTGTAAGGCTCTTTTAGTTAAAACATGTCGTTGCAGCGAGTAAGACAGGAAATAGCATAAACTTTTTGAAGTTCTTAAATTTGGCTTGTAGGGTAAACACGTTCAGTGTTGCCTTTGCTGTAACTTTTGGCATTATGATTTTTTGCTAGTTTCTGCTCACTTTTAGAGAAAAGTGGGCGTATAAAATGGAAGTTTAAACATGAAGATTTTTCACACGGATTTGTGTAAGAAAATTGGAAGTGAATTGTGACTACTAATCCTGGCCACCAATGGTTAGTGAAAAAGAAATGCCCAAGGCATTAGCTAGCATTGCGGAGAGATCCAGCCAGATGTTTGAATTAATACACACCTGCGGCGGCTAGGTTTAAATTTGGCTTATTTTGCATGATGAACGACTGTCTTGTCTTTTAATATGGAAAAAAAATAGGAAGTCATCTATGAATTGTTGCATTGAGGCTTAAAAGTGTGAATTTAAAACCAATTAAAGCAGAAAGGTCTCAAATTTAGTATCTTTACAAATTTTGAAAAAAAAATAAGTCGAGGAGCAGCTACAGGACGAGGTTTACTAGAAAATTTAGCTACTTCATTTCTGGCAACTTTAGGGTTACTTCGACAGTTAGGTACTTGACAAAATAATTTCACCCAAAGGGAATTGGTACCGCACTCAATCTAGCTCCAACTACGCTTCGGATGACAATCATAAAAATATTGGACACAATGCTTAACTGCTTTGTTATTTCATCCTCAACTATTGCAGACTTGACTCATAATGGAATCCTGTGTAACCCTTGTTTGTGAACAGATTTGTTAACTGCAAGAAACAGACTAACCTTGAGTTATTTTGATATGTCAACAGTGATACACAATTCTCTATATTGGTGACGAAAAGAGTCTTCCTACACCCAGTACTTCCTTGAGTCCTTCAACACCAGAATCAAATTACTTAACTACTTTCTGGGCGGCGTATTTTGGTACAGGGTACAGTACCTGCCTTAACGGCAACGCATATTTTGCAAGAAAACTTTGTTGCTTTGGAACCACCCCTATTTTACGACTCAGACGAGCCTAAAACACTTCAAAGTAAACAGACTTTGTATGGTGTGAAGATCTGAAATACGAAAATACTAGAGGGTACCATGAAGAACACAGCATCAAAACAGCCTGAAGTACTTGACATTATTTCTACAAGTTAAAGCAGGTTCTTTGCGTGAAGTATTTATCAGCTTAAATAAGTAAAATTACGTTTTTACTTTTAGTTGAATATCCTCCAGAAATGAAAAATATTATCCTTTTGATTAGTTTAAGATGAATAATTAACAAAACTCTAAGAGGTGGACAGAAGAAGCAAAATAATTATTCGCATATTATACTGCCACGAAAAAAGCTATTCTATTGTAAAACTCCTGAAAAAAATTACAAATGTTAAATTTTTTGCACTCACGTCTTTAAATCACCTTTAGATACTTCATAAACAGCATGAGAACTTTGCATAACTTGCATCCATTGAAAAGGCTTCATTTTTACCGGAATTCGATTTGGTTTTCAAATAAAGATTACACTATTTAAAATGCAAAACTTTGTCATACCTAGACACGCAGTACAGCTAAAGCAATGCAGACAGAATTTAATCGTCTAAAGTAGTTTTGAATTTGCAATAAAATGACAAATAGGTCTTTGTGAACGACTTGGAAGGAGCGATTGTCAGGGGGACTTAAAGATTAGCAAAGATTTTTAGGTTGGAAACAGTGATTAGTTGATGTAAACCCATCTTTGACCGTTGAAGTAATGCTGAAAAAAGTAATCTATGTTGGGTTTAAAACTTTGTTATTAAATTTAGAGCCTCCTCCGACAGTGATAAAGCTACCTCGATCACTGAATCGCGATAAGTTAGCACGTGTCTACATCGACCATGATCTGTCCGCACGTGATTCTAACCGTGAACCCATAAATCACATTCACCGACAAAACACGTTTCAGTGTTTGAGTGTGCGAGTGACAGAGTCTGAGAGTGAGAGGGAGAAGGTTAGACATGCACACCTTCCAGATGGAGATGAATAACAATTCTCAGGAGGAGGTGCCCACACCACTAGATCTCACAGTTAATTCCTCCGCCTCCACCACCACTGGCATTAACGCGGCCACTTCGCCCACCAAAATACAACCGTCACAACTAAATGATCTCAACCATGTGATTCAATCCATCCGTGAGGTAATCTCCTGCTGCGCCTGTTTCAATTCCGACTTCGGCATGAAGGAGTGCGCAAATGGTCACCTTCTCTGCCATACGTGTTTCCTCACCCTTCGACAGGATGATCACCCACAATGCCCCACCTGTCGAGCCATCCTCTACCCCGACAGCAGACGCGCCCTAACAGCGCAAAAAGTTCTCTCCGAACTGCCCGACGTCTGCTTAGAGTGCGGGCAGATGATGCTGCACAAGGATCTTGTAGGACATAAGCTCAACACCTGCCCTAAGCGTCGTGTCTCCTGCGGTCTCGCACCCTTAGGGTGTACGTGGTGCGGCAGTGCGGAGGAATACCACGGCCATTACGAGGATTGTGGAGTGCGTCGGTGCCTTCAAGAACGTCCCCTGGAAGAGAGCCTCTCCAACGTGCTTGCACGATTTAGACGGAGGGAGCAGATGTTGCGAGAGATGTTTACCTGCTTTTCGGCCGTTTTTAGACATTTGGAGGGTTTTGAACTCCAGTCGGTATGCGTCCCTCTTTCACTAGCACGGGTTACCCCCGGTAGACTGGTCTTCAAGAGCGATCAATTCCATGGAAGTCAGTCTCGCTGGACACTGAAGTTGATAGTACGATTTGATGACGAAGGTGCCGAAGAAATCTCTACACCCACCGTCTCTAATGTTGGCGACCCTATCGCTTCGGATACCTCGGAAATGCAAGAGGTTTTTGAGACAGGTGTGGAAACTGTGGAACAGGTTAACGGTTTACATGATTCCACAGAAAACACTCCATCATCACAAAATGAGGAAACGAATTCTTCGCACCGTCCACGAAGGATATTTCGTTTTATGGGAACACAACGCACACGACCATATCCAGATTGGAGACAAACAAGAAATGGGAGCAACAGCAGTAACAACCCCAATGGAGGAGGTGGGTCGGAGAATGGTTGCATCCAGTCAGACCAGTCTCAATTTGGAGAAATAAGTTTCGCAATAACGAAGGAAAATAGCCCAGGGATAGGAAGGAAGAACTATGCCTTTATTCCACTGCAAATTGAGTCGGCGGAGACAGGTGCTCAAGTGAGTGTTCGGCCGATGATTTCAATGTACCGATTTGCATCGCGGGGGGAGAGAACTGGGGCATTTAGCTTATATCCCATGCGGTGGCGGTACTTGACAAATTTGCGAGAACTGAAGGCCTGTCGTCTGATTAACATGGAGATGGTGATTGCACGAAAACTGGTAGATGAGCAAGCAGAGCAGGTATAGAGCCGGTGGAGGTTATCACCGACGTCACCACTATCGTCATTAAAGTGGGCGATGCTAATGATAGGCATGCACCGAAGTTGCGTTCGGGTTTCAGTTGCAGAGATGGTTGAATTGAGAAAGCCACCCTCTGTGCACTTGTCTGTGTGTATGTGTGCATTTGTTCGTCCTATATCGAATAAATAAATGAAAAAGATTGTGATCACTGTGCTGCTCCAAGTGGAGTACACAGAAGCTGACTTATTTTGCCTCCATTTAGCCTAGATTAATATCAAAGAAAAAAAAGTTTTAAAATCAAATCTCTGAAATAAATACGGCTAGTGCACAAAGATTGTACATAAATAAAATTTATACTTATTTTATTATAATACAACTTCCCACCTAAATACACTGAATCCATGGAATTCGAGACTTCGATCGCCATCCTGATGCCATGACATTCAGGTCTTCTTAATTACTTAAACCTTTTCAATGAAGTGCCTTAAGGGTGAGCTGGACTGCTTAGCTAGTGACCTTGGAACGAATATTCCTGACCCTACACGGTACTACAGTTAGACGTCATGGTTCCTGTTCAGTGACCATCATGAATCGGTTTGGAAAGCAAATTACCATCCCTGGTAGCTTTGCTCTTCAGCAAAAACTAGAAGTTTCCTGGGTTAAAACGATTCCGCAATGCGATCTAAGTAGGGCTGACTTCCTCTGTAACGAAGCCGCCTACATGATAGAGTTGCAATCGGACCCATACAGTGTTTAAGTGGGCGACCACGACACCATCGAAAGCGGTATTCCTATCTCGATGTATATGAAAGCCACAGACAAAAATGGTTCTTACTCTCCTGTTAAGGATGGAACCTTCGTTTGTGCCCAACTAAATATTTAATTTAAACCTCACTTCAAATTGGTGAAAATTGGCGAAAATTCTGTAAAATTTCGTTGGTCAGTTAGCGCCCCCACATATCCAATCGAATCAAGTAATGACAGCGAATCTGACCAAATAGGATGAACAGACTTTATTACATTTCGGCCATTAATATCACAGCTTCCTCAGTGGTAGCCCACAAATGAACAAAGCCACATTATCAAAGTACCATGTCTGCGTTGCGATTGTTGACGCTGTGATAGACACGTTAACAAAAAAGGGATACACTGAGGACTATGAGGCGGTTAGAATAATAAGAGATGGTAATAAAAAGAGGGCGACTAGCGCTGCTCCAAATTCAGAGTTTCCTGAGGCACCAATTTCAGTTCAGCCAGGGTCACGTCGTCCGACAGATTCGCAGTCAACTGAAATCGCAAAACTCACGTTATTTAGATCACTTAAGCATCAAGATCATTTGCTTTTTGCAATCATCGCTCACATCAACCCGGGGAAAGGTGGTGAGAAGTTTGAAATCCGCCACAGCGTAGCCTAGCGACTCCATATAGTTCTTTAGATCACGAAGGGTGTCCCTCGCCCTAAAGCGTCGTGTGATCATTCCATTTTGAATGGGCTGTTTCTCCGCGTCAGAGAGGTGCTCGTAGGAGGGTGGGGAGGGCAAAGTGGTGGGCAGACGGAAGCGCAGAGTGGCCACACCCACAGTACCCACCAGGGGTTCGGGCGGGAGAGCGCGGCCCGAGGCGATCTGTCGATTTCGCGCCTCGCGCTGCGCCGCCTCGGCCTGTATTCGCGCTTCCTCTTCACGCTGCGCTGCCTCCGCCTCTTCCCGCTGTTTCGCTTCCACCTAAGGGAGCGATAAAGTTGAGGGGAAAAACAGATGAATGGATGAGGTGGTTGAATGAACGTGAATGACTGATCGATTGGAATAGTAACTTAAAAACATTGATTGAGTAGATGAGCAACCGAACGAACAGATGAATTGTTGATTGAATGGAGTAAATAACAACCGGTTGAGCCCAACAATTAATCAGATAAATGAATAAATAACTGATTTAATGAATAGGTCGACAAACAGAAAACTGGGCCATTGAGTGGTTAAGCATAAGGACGAATGGATGAGTGAACGAATAAGTAAAAAATTGAGTAATTTAGTGACTATTTTAATAATTGACAGGTTGGTTAAAAGGGTAAAGAGACACGCCTCAGCAAACAAAATGACGGCTGATTAATTGAGTTGGTGAGGGAGCAAGCGAGTTACTGAGAGATCAAGTAAGTGGCTAATCATGAGTTTGAGCAAATAAGCATGATTTGTAGGTCATTAACAAAGACAATTCTTCTGACAGTTCTTAGCTTTTATGGCTATTTTGATAACACCAGGATGCATTACCTATATTTCACACGCATATTTTGATGTCATGATAGCATCTTATACGAAAAACATTGGGACAATTTATTTGAAACGTGCAAACAACCTAAAAGAGGCTGACCATCCTCAATTTACAAGATCAACAATTCAGAGAGCAAAATATGGAAAAAGGACTTGTAAATCTCCTTTTAACAGGCATTTTTAATATTAACAATATGAGAAGTTTGAAAGATTTGACCTAGAACTGAGTCGTCCAGAACAATGTAACGAGCTTTTGATGAGATCCATTTAGTGATATGGATACGATCACAAAAAACAGTCAGAGTATAGGACATAAAAGCGATGGTTATTAAACGAAAGACCGAACATGAATTAATGCGTGATAAAAAACTGGTTGACAGAAGAGATAAGCAGTTGAACAAATGGGTAAATCCATAGGTAAGCAAATGGATGGATTGAATATGAGTCGTTATTGAATGATTAATAAATAAGTAGTTGGCTGTGTAGAGTTCCACTTTCCTTTTTTTGCATAGTGGCAATACCTCATTAAAAATCCGCGTAATCTTTCAGCAAACTTTGTGGGATTAAAAATCGCACAAAAAACTAGCGATAAATTTCTTAATGGTTCACCGAAGAAGGTGAATGTGAATAGATATTAAATAATTTGGTTAATGGTTTTGAATTTTAGCACAAATGGGTCATACGGAAAAACTTAAACTCAGACGTCAATGGGAGGTCTAACAGGCTGTAAACCATTTGCAGTGAAATTTGAAGATGTGTCAACTACGTGCAAGATTTAGTGTCACTGCAGTTTCAGCACATACCACTTTCGTTAGACTTTGCATTACATATCTCTGGAACTATGCTCGGAACCTTCTACTCACTCTACAGACATGGTCAATACTAGGATTAGTAAAACTGGTGTGCTATTTCCTGTTTGAAATCAAAACTAAAGGCGGTGGCTGATGAGTATTACAAAAAATAATACTACTGCTTAAGATAAATTAAGTAGGCGTTTTTGCACCCCAGAATACCTTGAGACGATCTTGTTCAAGTGACTCCTTGTAGGCCCGATCCTGCTCCTCACGCATCATCTCCCGTTCTGCACGTTGAGAATCAGCTTGAACTTCAGGCTGCAGGCGCTCCTGGTACATCACATACTTCTGCCAGAGCTCACTCACCACATCCTCCGCGTCGAGTTTGCCCTGAGTGTGGGAGAGTGGAGCGGGAGCTGTAGTGGGCGACGCAGAGACGGACTCTAACGGTGGAAAGGCCTCCATCGAGTGACTATGATCATCAACTGAGGACCAGGAGTGCGAGGAGACGGGGGTGGTGAAACCGTGGCCAGTCAGAATGGTTATCGCCTCATAAGAACCGCCCAATTTGCACAACATTATCAGCAATGGAAATTGGTCCGTCTATATTGAGAGTAAAGTAGACGCGGTACTAAAGCTAAATAATTGGGCAACATAAACAGCTTCATCATGGGTAGAAAGGTTTGTAGACAAAATAGACATGTTTCTTACAAAACAACGATCATCCATTCATGTCAACATAAATTATTGCGAAAATGCCCAAGAGGTGTTTCCAAGCTCGAAAAACCCCAGTACATGCTAATAACAGAGACAAGGAATTCTCTCCTAAACGAATTCCTAGATGCGTCTTACCAAGTATGAATTTGATAGATAAGATTACGTCAATCATTCACCATTTTTATTCATCTTGGATCAATGAAAGTCGGAAATAGCAGTAGAATTTTAAGGATACATTCAAGATTTCAAGATGAGCTATTTTGCAGGCCACCTAAGTGGCCTTGTTTCGGTGTGAAGAAACCGTAATGATTAAACGAAATTTTACACGCAAAATACCTGCGTTTGAATGATCTCGGTGGCAAGGTATTCAAGACGTGGTTGCATCCAATGCAGAACATTAGTCCTTGCCCCGTCGAGAGTAACATCCCAAGGCCAGATCTTAAGCTGATTCGCTTCCATAAATTGACTCATTTGTTGCGAGCAGAGCAGACGATTGCAGAAGATATGTGCTGCCACACTGTGATCATGGTGCAGGTAAATGAAGAGGGGTTTGCGCTGAAAGCAAGAAAAAGAATATTTGCTAAGGAAAAAGACATCGTTGTCCGACTATTCCAAGGGAAAAGAGAACGCACATCAGCAACACGAGAGGTACTGAAGCACTGGCTCAAGGCCTCGTTGAAGGGACAGAGGAGAAAGGGTGGAATACATTCTTCGGGGTTTGAACAGTAGCGCTGAATAAACACATGGTAAAAATTTTCCAACGCCTCCTGGGGAGATTCAATGAGGCTCAGAGGAACTGCAGGGGAAGGAAGAAGTTTCGATTTCAAATCAAAAGGTCTGCTTCAGAGTGACTTAAAAGGGAAGTCATGGTTTTCTTATTCTAGCGGTGGCGAAGAAGCAAAAACCCGAAGGCCAAAAAAGTGATCAAATTGTGGAAGCATTCTGGACTATCTGCTGAGCTGAACTGAATGCAAGTGACTTGACACGGTGAGGTCAACTTGAACCCCACATGATTAAGTAGTCAGAACTGTGTAGCTCTAAGCTACCTGGTCATTCCGACTTATCAGTTATGCGTTGGCAGGATTCGATTGGTACGGCCTCGTGAGGCTCTGATGGATGATGTCAGTGTCGTGACAGATACCAAGCAATGAAGCCAAATAAATTAATGAAACCTTAAAAAACATCGTCGTGAATACACATACCCCTTAATACGTTGGCCACCGATGCCACTTATATTACGCGAATATGCGACGTACTTGTTAGCTTATAGCAAATGTCTGCATTAAATCATACCACAAACAGATCGGGCGGGCTTACAAGTGGACCTAGAATGTTCTTAAAGATAACTACATATTCATAGTTTTTTGAGCAACAGTGCAATATTAGGCGGATCAAACACCTGAGAGGTGATGGTTGATTTTCCACAAACCAATTCTACTAAGAAAGAAATGGGTAAACTTATGCATCAATTATAACTTAAGGTAAGTTAAAAGTTAGCAATCACAAGAACAATTTGACCTGTTATCGAGCACGAAAAGCGCACAATAACAAAAGTAACCTTTGATAAAATTTGCGGTCTAGGTCTTCTGGCTCCTTCTTATGAATAAGATCCAAAATGTTTAACCTCCGACCCACTATGACTACAAATTAACAGAACTCCATTCAGCAGCACGTTTCGGTAGGCAAACACTTCAGAGACGACAACTTACTCAAAGGCAGGGAGTAAGGATTGGTACTATCACTGACAAAGACCATTCCATCGTTTGCGTCGTCAATATCGGAGTAAATGGTAAAGCCACCATCATCGTCCAATTCCTGCATCAAAACACAGAAGCGAAAGATTGATATCTCATCCACAAAAAATAACACGGGCATGCAAGTGTGCAATTTTTGGAGAGGGATCCTAGCATGCTGTTCCCTTTACAAATATTCACAAATTCTGAGTAATAGTGAGACAGTTTTATGTAAAGGAATAGATTTTTTGATGCCCGTCACACAAATTCATGATTCCAACAGAAGACAGCTCTTTATTTGTATAAACATGAGACAAAAGGGATAGGATGATTGGTAAAAAGGATGTTAGAGGAGGGGTCGATGCGGAAATTCATTTTATACGATTTGGGTATTTTTACACATTTCTTTGCGTGTGTGTGTATGTGCGTCTGCGCTATTTAGCAAAATCAAGATGCACCGCTAGCGCGCAGAATGAGGCGAATGACATAGCGACGCGAAATAAAAATAGTTCGAAGCGTGAACACACTTTGCTGCCTACAACTAGTGAGCATGGTTAAGCTAGGTTAACGATCCAAAATTAGAAATCACGCCGAAAAATGAACCCAATGTGATGTTTGAGATGATTAACGCATAGAACATCAGCAACAACCAGCCTCCTGCTACTAAAAAAAATAAGACAGCTGAACCTATTAGCGTTACCAAAAATCAAGTCAGCTGATTGGTAGGAAGAGCGAAATTTAAACTTACCATGACGCGAAAGGAAGTTAAAAAGGCCAATGAAATAATCTACATTCCCCCAAAGACTGTGGCAGTGATGGTCCAGTCACGTGTATGTATATATCAGCATGCGATGGGGCAACATATGTACCAAAAAAAATCAATAGGTGGATGTACAAGCTCACGTTAACTTTGGCATTATATTGCCCGAAATCGCATCCTCTCCTCCTACTCGTAGATGCGATGCAAGAGCAGATATTTCAGGTGACAACGTCTACGCAAACCATTAATACCGCAACTACGAGAGAGCATGTGTGACTCAAGCGCATGAGTTTTCGATGGTCCTGTGGCGGTACCAGTCACATAGGTAACTCACCTGACTTAGATCATAATGAATTTTCTTTTTCGACCTTTGAGGCCGACAATTGTCCTCGCTAGTAGCAACACCGGTACTCGAAAATGAAGAGTGGGAGGTGGAAGGGGCTTGTGAATTTGTAAGCTAAAAGGGAACCCGTACACCCGTGTTGCTTTAATCAAAATAAAGAATGAATGCGTTTAACGCTATCCTACCTCAAGGATGTAGAAATTATCGTGCCTGAGGTTGTAGCGCTGAAGCTTGTGTTCGCTAGACGCGTTGGAAGACATATTCAAGTCCCTTACCATCGCTTCCAAACTTGACGAAGTCTCGGATTCCGGGAGAGACCAAACCTGATTCGACACAGAAATGCCAGACTCCTTAGCGGCTGAGCGTTTCAAACCAAATAGGCTTGTAGTCTCGGAGATGTTTCGTAAGCGAATGACCCTGCTGTCGACCGAACGGGTGTTCGTAGCGCCGTCGCGTTGGTGGGAAGATTCTATTAGACGAACTCGCACGTCAAGTGTAGTTGGAAAGGAGGCATTTTCCCGGCCCGCTACCTCAGTATTCGGCCTAGAGAGTTTAAAAATTCCATTGTGTGCATTTTATTATGCGAAACGATGGAGGCACGACTTACCGCACTCTGTGTCGTCTAACCAACCGAGCAGTCCATGAGTTGTTCAATGGAAGATGCAAACTTCTAAGCGTCACCTTAAACACAAACAACCCAAAATTGTACCAAAGAACACAATTTCCGGCGCTGACTGCTTTGCAACATTCTTACATGATCATTCAGACTGTTCTGATTGTGCGTTCCGTCGAAACGCAGAGCAACCAGCAAAGCTGCACTGTCCGAAGGTAAGCCAGAATTCTCGGCTGCTTTAACGAAACTATCACGGTGCTTGTCGACCAAGCACCGTTTAAAATCACCAAGTGTGATCGAATCACGTATATCCTCCAAGCTAATAATCGCAACTTCTCTTTTCCTATCGTCTAGGTAAAGCGTAATTTCGAAGTTTAACAGCCTCGAATGTGGACTATGTGGGGAGTCAAGCGCAGAGTTATGTGGAGAAGATCCTGCATCGACTTGTGATGAATCTTAAGTTGTAAGGTTGAAAATAAGTAAAAAGACAAATTTAATTTTGCAAAGTACCACCAGGTTTCCCATCCACTAGGAAAAAGTCAACTGCCGACTCTATATTCCAGTCAAACTGTTGAAGAATTTCTTCGGCGGTTTCCCTTTGTGTAATACCCGTTAGCTCCTTGGAAAAATATTCACTAATCAGAAGCCTACTTGAAATTTTTCAACTAAATCCATTTGTGTACTCACTGCAACGCATAAATTGTCCTGAGTGTATATGGTTCCTTCTTACAGCGCGGCTGACTAGGAGCGCAGTGAAACGACAGCTTTGTTTCTAAAAGAATAAACAGAAGTATATTAATTAAATATCGCCTTTGCAAATTTTGGCTGCAGAAGCTTTGCATGGTTAGCAGTGTTCAAGGTTCAAAAGGAAATTAGAAACAGCTTTGAGCCATATCGGTTCGGAATATTTGAATGTCAGCATGACAATTTGTGTCCTCGAGAAGAATTGTATTTTAAAAAAGGGCTTTTAGAAGGCAAATAAGTGGCTTGCATTGCAGGGAAAGAAGTCCTTGTTATTCGCAATCAATAACATGACCCTTCCTATCTGGTATAAATCCCGCAGCTCCCTTTTATTATTTCAGCAGAGACGTGTTGTTTATGTAACAAAAAAACAAGATGCACATAGGATTCACCCAGGTGGCCTCATATATACCTTAATCTGATGGATGCGATTACCAGTAATAACCGTCTAACTGTACATTGAGCAATGTCAACCCGGTAACTCAAAAAGAACATGCCAACGCCAGTAGAAAAAACGACCCTCTAATCTAATGTTACAAGACTTTGATACTTTGCTTGCCTCTGCGTTTGACTACCCGGCACGCAAGTCTGCTGATTGCACTTCCACCAGGCGTAGTGGGTCTAGGTCTGTGCCAATAGCCTGCCAGTCTTTCTGTACGTTAGCATTGTATGTTCTGGCATACTATTGTGGTTCCCCACGACTTCAGAGGGAACTTGGTTACAGACAAGATGTTTAGTGGTTGTTTAGGAATAGTCGCGTTTCACTGCTTCATTACATATTAATAATCCACTTATCATTATATGCACCATCTTATAGTGTGATAACAAATAAAAAAGGAATGGAGGAACATCACTCTCGTCATTTGGTTTGTTTGTTGTTACTAATCCACCTGCCTACTAGGTCCTGTGTACCTGGTTTAGCTTATCCAATAAATCTTGTCTGCTGCGCACGTCAATTAACACCCCAGGTCGATTTTGAGCAGCTGTATTCTATGTCATGTTCTTAAGAATAAAATCGAGATAACAAAGTGAGGAAGTCACCGATGGGCACCGAAAATGTAGCGTCCATAGCGTTGAAGCTCCTCCGAATAGTTTGGGACCTTGCGACTCAGAATTTCGCCCAATAACGCTAAAGTAAAAATTGGTACTTTGCAAACCTGATTAAAACACCCTTTTCTTTCAATTCCCACCACAATGTTGGTGTCTTTTACAAATTTACAACGTTACAAGTGAAACTACGCGTTGGGTTAAATGGAATCTCAGGCCCAATCAAAGCGAAACCCCCACCGCTGATCCTTTTCCAAATGTGGCCGAACGCATTTAAATATGGCTTCCCACGATGTATTCCACTAAAACATACTTTGCCATGTTACCAAAGGCGGTCTAGTGGATTGATCTACTACTGGTACTTACTAAGTCTAAAATCTTAACAGAACTGGAACCACTATCGGTACACCGTTTTCCTGAAAGTCAATCCTAACTTCCACATCATCAAAATTTCTCTCTGATAACGGAAACATCTTTTTAGTAAATGGTTCAGTGTTTGGTTTGCAAGTGCAATCAGTCGCACACTGATTCGACTAACCTTACGACAACCATTTCGAGGTGTTTTCGCCTCTTCTTCACCTGAATCCACTCCACAAATTGCAACAAATAACATCTCATACATCCACAATCCCATCAATATTGACTTAATCTAATCTTACTGAAAGCACCAAAGGTTCATCAAAATGCAGTTATTCAGTAATAATCGTAGTCGCAATAGTAATTGTAGTGAAAGAGATAGGAGCGAGTCTGAACATGCACAGAGAAAAAGAGAATCCACACATTAGAAGCAAAGAGGGTGAAAGAAGGTGGGGCGAGGAACCACAGAGTTTTAATGGCGCCGAGCAAAATAAGGAGCCTATCAGTCCGAGCAAGTAAGTCCAAGCAAGTAGAAAAAAGACGGCAGGAGCGGCAGACACTCGGCAAGAAAGAGAGCGAAAGTACGGAGGAAAGAACGGAAAGAGGGAGGCAGGGCAGAGGAGTACCAGGGAGTTAGCCAGCCAAGCGGGCAGATGGACAGGCAGAGCAAGAAAGTAAGAGATCAATTCATGTGGCGCTGTAGCTTTCCCCATCTGCCCGCCTGTCTATCACCTCTCTTCCCTCTTCGCTCTAGCAACGGGATTGCGTGCGTGTGTGGGAAAGAGAAGAGGAACAAGGAGGAAGGGAGAGCATCTAGGTGGGATTTGAGCGCTAGGTTCGTGGGGTGAAGTTACGCACCTCGTTGAAGATCATCTCCTTCCACTCCTCTACTGATCGACTTTGGCTGTCCACGTCGGGGTCGTAACACCCAGGGGGTGGCTACAGATGAGAGAGAAACGAAAAAGTCACCAACCGAGTAGCTGCAGTCAGTAGGTGTAAAACAGATCACGTTTGGTTTGTAAGAGATGAAATGCTCGCTCCCCTCTCAGAAATTAAGTATTGGCAAGACGACATTTCATGAGATTGTAGGTCATCACACAGAACTGCAATTCGGCCTCCACAAAGATGGAATGGAGCCCCGTTCATACCACATATATTGCTAGTCTTCCAGTCCTTCCGTATGTTTACAGTAGCTTTCAAATCGTGAAAAAGGAACCCAGGTAAAAGTGCCATGTGCTTCTACACAGACCTTTTCAATCGTTCACAATTCAGACGCCAAGCTGGTAACGTAAACCTCTAGTCATGGCATCTGCGCTACTAGACTTCCACTCCTTTTGTGCGTTCTAAATTCACATACCTTAAAAACGTTCAGAACTAACTCAGAGACCGCAGGCCATCCAAAAGTCAACAAGATTCACCGACTCAGTGAAGGCCTACCATTATGTAGCGAAGTCAAGAAGGAGAGTAAAGTCGATAGGCACTTGACCTCAAACAACACTAGCTAAGCCATGAGCAGAACCCTGACTCCAAAATTTACCAACTTCTTTCAACCACATTTGCCTATTGACTATCGTATTACAGCGAAACGACATTTGTAATTTTAATTTAACCACACGAGCTCTCCAACCTCCGCTGTCTTCGGCCATCACACCTCGGTAGGATTTTTTGGCTCAAGTCATTCCTGTTAACAATCTACTAGCCCCTGGACACGTGTGTCAAAGACGTGGACTCTAGAGCATCATTCGCTTTTGAAACTAAGGAGGAAAATTTTCACTTTCAAATGAGCTCCCAAAAATCCATCTTACAGGGATCTCATCCAGATATCTTTTCAACGCCAACTGTTATAACACTTAACACGGATACCGTCGAATTAATCAAAGCACTAATTCGTGTCTGAAGCGTCAAGGCAGTCATGTTTAGTGGGCAGAATGAGATATTTCAGTTATAATTTAGGAGGTACTTCACACTACGAAGAACCCCACCAAAGGGCGGCAGCCGTCGAAGTTACGCTCTCGTTAAAGGAGGATTTAGTGAAATGTCCCACCATTGCCAAATGAGACTGGCCTTCCCGATACCTCAAAAAAAAATGGATTTTTCAACATAAATGCGTCCAGCACTGCTTAAAAGTGAGTCACGCAATTGAGAAAGGATGGGGAGCGGGCAAATCTTAAGTCAGTCATAAAAACAAATCCCATTTCAAAGTTGCATTTATTCAACCTGGCATCTCTACGTTCCACCACAGAAGATGAAAGACGAACATCAAGTTCGTTCGGTAGTTCAGTGAAACAGCCATCCAGTTCATGAAGTAAGAGCAGCGAACAAGCGCCGGAAACCGGTGACCTCATCTTGATGGCTAACAAGGGATCATCAAAACAGAAATTTATAACTAGGAGGAAAATAAAAAAGGCTTCCAAAACATTTGCTACCAGCGTTGCATTAATGTGTTCTTTGAAGGTTCATGAGAATTACTTGCAGTCATAAATGATTTGTGATAACTGGAAGGCTGAGTTTAAAGCAGTAAAGCAGATTGGCTGAATGTTTCAAGCGCAAAAAGGTTGCATTTTTTTAGGTTTTGAGCAGTCGTTGGGTTGTTAGCAGGAATTAACGACAGGTGGTGTCATACTAGACCAGATAAAATATCTAGACTGGAGTGGTCGAGCGCATTAGACTAAATATGCAAGATCCATTAGCGCCTGGGATGTAAAATAACCCTATCAGCCTCGTCACAATTCAGGGCATAATTTCAGTGCCCAGATGCCATTATGATGGTCAGTGACATTACTATACTTTAACTATCAGCTCCATCAAGTGGAAATTGCGTCGCAATGTCTGTGCCTTTAGCCCTACTTTGGCTATCATATGTATCAACTAAGTTTCTGCCTTATTCAAGTGCTTTAGGACACCCCAAGCGCTATAGTAGCAAATCCATTTGGAGACTAGTCAAAATACACCTTAGTATATCTCACTAAAAAGAAAAACCGATTCTGAAATGCAAAAAAGTAAGTCGAAGGAGGAGAAATTGATAGCTACAACACTCCGCAAGAGAGAATGTGACCTTTCAGCGACGATAAAAATGCGGGGGCAGGATCGAGATGGCAAGCACAAATACCCCTTCAGTCTATTTTTCAATTTTGTCTTAAAGAAAAATTTTTACATTGTGAGGTAACAATCGGATAAGTCTATCATTTAGCATTCGGAATTCGTTAGACGGTAAGAGGGAAGAATCCTTTAATTATTTAAAATGACAGAAAAACCACCTTCCTGCACCGTCATGCCGCTGCATTTTCTCATTCCACAAGAGTAAAAGGATTCATAAGGCTTTCGTCGATTGCAACACAATACCCGTTGAGGAGTGAAGAATGAAAGTTGAAGCAAAATTATCGTTGCGACACTCGTTTGACTCCATCCCCAAGACTCTGCATACCGCGACAGAAATTCAAAGCATTATTGAACTGATTAACTCAGACCTACCACCATCTACTCATATTAAATGATGCTTTAGATTTACACCTATTTAAAATTTGACAACAGTCATAAAGACGCCACTGAAAAGGGGTAGAATAAAAGACCCATTCTGTAAACAACTCATCATCATTGACTTCGGCATCGTTGCCAGGGTTTGACGTGACACGTTAAGCAACAAAGTAAGAGAGTGTGACGTGCTAAAGGGTACCACAAAAACGGAAAATGCGGCTTTTGCTTGACGTGAAGCGAAATGAGGGCGATTATGCTAGAATCTAGAGTAAAATTGGTCCCATTGTAAAGGCAAAAGTCGGTACCTCAAGTCCTTCTTTGTCTCCAACTCACCAACTGCTCACAGTAAGTGACATTAGAGTTAGGAAGTTCCATGATAAAATTTGAAACATATCCATACCAGAGAAGAATGGCTCACCCCATTGATTTCGGCGTCGTCACTCCAGAGGCTAACATAGGGGTGTCTAAGCGCCTCGCCCACGGTGATTCGCTCCACCGGATCGATGACCAGCATACGACTGAGGAGGTCCCGCGCCATGGCTGGGTTCAGATCGGCGTGCCTCTGTTCAAAAAAAAGTACTTGCAACGATGATAATGACCCGCCACATATGAACACAAACTAGTGGATTGCGTGAATGAGGGGAGACTCATGTATGCTGTGGATCTTACGGCGCCCTGACAAAACAGCTTATGTGGCCAAAAAGAGTGGAAATCTCTAGATTTGCTCCGTTCGGCAAAACGAAAGAAAGTTGCAAACTCAGTAGAGATCAAACTATCTTGCGGATGCACAAAACTATAGCAGGACTTGCAATCTTAGCAAGTTGTGTAGTTAAGCTGAATTAATGGGAAGCCTTCTCAGGCCAATTCTAAGAAGACCAAGAATGAACAATTGTTAATACATCGTTTGAAAAGACGATAACCATGAAAAAATGTTGATTTGATGTGATATTTTAAAACCAAAATTATCTTAGGCTAGTAAAAAAGGCATTTTAACCAAGTGCTGCTAAAATCTCGCTTTAAGATAGTGGTGAATTCTAATAGTTAAAATTCTGATAAGATAGGAGCCAGACAAAAAAATGAATGAAATAAAGCCGAAATGCAGCACCTCGGCTGGAGAGTTTAGCTCTTGGCTGGAAGCATCCATGGATAAAGTTGTGAAGAGGCCCGGAGATAGGTAAAATACAAAATATTAAAAATAATCAATAAAATACCTCCCTCTAATTTCCAGTGGCATTTTAGAGTAGAAAGGTCTACTGTGAATGGCAAAAAATAGGTAATCAAAACGTCATCTGAGATTGTATTAAAAACCAGAGAAAGTGGGATGATCACAGGTTGTAGGATCCATCCAGTTTAACCACCTAGGAGACGGGTGAGCAGACAGTTAAATTGCACGCTGCCAAACGATGAGAAATGTGTGGATGGAGAACCGGAGACTAACTGGTTCATTTGCAAAAAAAATACCGAAGAAAAGAAGCACAGTGAAGGCTGCATTTACATAGCACTCGAGTAGAATGACAAGGCTAGCATTTTCAACATGGATATCCTATCAAGAGGGTAAGCGAGCACCTAATACCCTAATCCTCCTGATTGGACAAACTACAAGTGTTAAGGGAGACATTCAAATCAAGACGAAGGAAGCGTAATAACGGTAATGCTAGTTCAAATAATATGGCGTTGCTTGAGGTCTTCCACTGACGTGGTCTTGATCGTACGAAGTCGAAAAAGATCAGGGTTCCATAAGATCATTTTTATGAGGGGAGACTCTTCAAACCATGGTGTATAAAATAATGGAGAGATTATTTAAACAGGATCTATGCCTGACAAGCGCCAAAGGGCACAGCTTACCTTCTTTTCCAGCTGGTGTCGAAGTAGGGGGGAGATCAAGAAGGGGCCTAAGAAAGGTGCCAATACCCAGAACCAATTGATTTAAATGGTTTTCGGGGTATTTATAAACTTTACTAGAGCAATTTAAGCACGGGACGACTCATCCAAATGACTGCAGAAAAACCATCAGCAAGCAAAATAACACGTGAAGACAACAGAGCCACTCTGAATCAACACGGCATTGGATAAAGTACGACCTGAATGACTTTTAAAAGCAAACGAATAGTGGGCAAAACAAAGTCATAATGGAGTGAAAAAGGGTTCTGGTATCCAAATTCAAAGGACGGACTTTTTCAAACGATAAAGACAATGATGGGAATGTAAGAGACGGGGACATACTCGGCTGGGTTCGGGGAAAACATCGTCAGGGAACAAGGTCTCAAAGGAGCGTCGGGGCACGATGGGTCGGGAGAGAACGTAATTGCGCACGTCGCGATCCAGACGATCAATGAAATCGCGGGAGGGTGTGCCCAACTCGGCAGTGATCTTGCTCCACTGGTCGATGTGATCGGTACCCGGGAAGAAGGTGCGCTCCAGCACCATCTCCGCGAAGATGCACCCCACCGACCAGATGTCGACGTTCGCAGTGTAGCCCATGCCCAGGATCACCTCCGGAGCACGGTAGTAGCTTTCAAGAGCAACGACAATACATGTTTGCATTAGAATAATTTATCTCCAGGTTAGTAGTGTAAAGCCAGGTATATAATATTATAATCGCGATGGCAGCCTTATTACAGGTAGGTAATAAGCCTGAATAACTTGGTCGCTACATTTTTGGCAACAGTAAGCAAACCTACCCCCAACTAGCATATATTCCACACCATCACAGAAGAAAAGTATTTACTTTAGATGGCTCAATATACAGGAGGGATTGTGGAACAACGTTGACTCATGGTAACTATTCCAATCTCTGGTTCTGAAGTCATAGCCAACAATGATTCAAGACCAGATTAAAACAAATCGAAGACGTCCTAGCAGTACTGCTCACAACTTTGTTATGAGCAAATTTAGAGTACAGATATGGGGACGTAACATGCCTCCTTACATGCGTTTCGAACCAATTCGGCAATTGGCATACTGAATGTATGATGTAGAAGATTGTCCAGCCTTCAACATTGATCACCTAATTTTGCACTCTACGTATCTGTAGCACACATTCATGGCATTGGACTTTATCGACAGAGGAAAACATGCGCAAATACGATTTCTTCAACCAATACCCACTCGTTAAACTTATGTGCAACCCACTCTACTTTGTCAATCTTAGAAAGACAGAGCGTGAGTGAATAAAGGAGGGGGACGACGTGACTACTCGAAGGCTCACTCTCTTCCCTATGACTAGCATGTTTTTATAAACCAGAAATTAATCCAATGCATGCACTAGGAATTCTACTTAAATGGTCACTTTAGTAGTAGAAGGAACATTCACCGAGTGACTACGTAGGGCGTCATCATAAAGTTTTCCGTGCCGGAGCGCGCGAGACCAAAGTCAAGGATCTTGAGAGTGCAATCGTGCTTCACTGCAATGTTGTTAGGTTTCAGATCGCGATGAATGATGCCCGCCACGTGGAGGTGCTTTAGGCCACAGAGTATTTGATACAACAGGAAGGAGAAACGCTCGTGGTCCAACTCCATGTGGATCACCTGTATTGCCAGTCCGAAATAAAAATAAGTACCAGAAGTAAGTTGCGCCGTACAAAAGTTTCACAAAACCGCAGAAAACAAAGCACAAATGCGATGAAAAGTATCGAAAATGAGTTGTTTGAGGTTGATAACGAGTTCCTGTGAACATCAAGTGTGTGGTTTCATCTGAGGCTTGGTAGTACTGGTAGCAAGAACTCCAAAATCCGAACGTCAGCAGCAAAACATCAAAAAATGGTTGCCTAAACCGGTCTCATTAAACAGTGTCGAAAAGAGATGATTTTGACTTCTTTTGAGTTGATGAGCATTAAACACATCACAGATTTCACTCACTAGTAACACCACACTTGATTAAAATAATACCAGAAATCAGGTATTTCCTACACCAAATCTCATACACAGTCTGGATTAACCAAATTATAGGAATATTTCGCATTTTCTTTTAAAATATTCTTATAAAAGGATCCCGGAAGTTGTTTGAGTAATGCAGAGAGTTTTCGCAGAAACGTCGAGATTTCAAAATCAATTGGAACTATCACTCATCTTGCACTATTTTTAGTCAGGTATTTACTGAACTGCCACCATTGAAAGGGAAAGTACCATGCCGACATTCTCAACGGTCAATAAATGTGGCATTCAAAAGATGTCGAAAATGCCGTATAAGGGTGACCGAACGGTGATAGATGCCTCAGAAAGGCGAAATAAACCGATGACAAGCAAACTTTCACTTCGCAATCCAATCCACAAGTACACTCTATAAGTTTCTTCAACGCGAATTACTGAGAAAACGTATTATCAACGAAAATCATCGTGTATATGATACTTGTAGAGAAAAGCAAGGTCAAAAGTATATATCAAATTTCGTCAAAAATCCAACATTTCCTTTGAGTACCGTGGTATCATGCTGAAGCACATGAAAACTGCTACCAGTGCCTTTTTTAAACTAAAGCCATTTTGATGAAATAAGCCCTAGTTTATGCACTACAGATACAACTGTTAAAGTTATGTATTACACTGCGACGTTCTCCGTATTTTTTCCACTTTTTATGCTTGCTCAATTTCACAAATGATACGCAAAACATGACGCCAATAAAGTTTTTGAAAGCACCTCAACAGTGTTTAGCAGAAACAATCCAATGTCATAGGCGAAATTTTGTAAAATCGACTCAAATTTCGTGCTGCATCGAACGATCTCCGGTCTATGGGAAGCAAAATGGCTTACTGTGCCTAATATGACAAACCCACCAGCTTAGCCTCGAGTTTGATCCAATTAGAGGGATGTAGTTAAGTAATGAGTAACGAAACCTCAAACGTTGACAAACCTGCAACATATTTGACTACTTTAGAGCTGGGTTAATCAGTCGACTTTCGAGATTTTTGAAATAAGAAGTGAAGTAAGCCAACAGAACTCAGTAAAATCACCGATCACAGATACCTTATAATCCACAAGGCATCTCGACAAGTTACGAAATCTTACTTCAACGGGAAAAGTTGTTAAGTGCAATTCGACTGAGGGGATACACTAGGAATGAGACGGCAATGTGAAATCGGGTAAATATGGGAAAAAAACCACAAAACGCCACCTTCCTGTTAGGCACTACCCACTTTTCAAATGGCATCAATTACAAACAATAAAGCTGCTGGAGAAAAAAATGCATAAAAGGCATCGCAAAATGTAAACGCTTCCATTGTTCGACCGAATGAATGCTACCCTCTCAAACTTTCAACAGAAATCGAAAGCTAGCTCTCCTTATAATTGTCAAAAATGCCAATAAATGATTAAAGCCAAAATCAACCCACACGAAGACAAAATCAAAGTCGCAAAACCGCATCGTAACATTTCGAACGTATGGTGTAAAGTGAACAGATTAGGAAAGGATACTACTCTTTCAAAAAGAAGATGCCCAGCAAACAAAAGAAGCTCTTCTGCGAAAATCAAGCATCCTGATAAGTTACAGAAGTTAAATTCATAAAAACGCCCGGTAACATCGTGAACCTGTTAAAAGATGCTAGTTATCAAAGATGAAATCCAAAGACAACCTACAGAGAATCTTACAAGTTGAAAAAACACTGTTCAGAAGAGCGTGTATTTTTCCGTTTTGCATGGAGAGATGGGAGCATGTGTCGAGTTTGTGACTCAGTAGTGCGCACTTAAAGCATCCATGATGATACTTCATAATAAATAGGCATCATCCCACGTTTTCATCATCGCTACGTGTTCCGCAGTCAATATGACTCACGCTAGTCGTTGGTGTCTGTGATTATTGCTGCTGCCCCTACCACTGCAGCCATGAGAAGACGCGAGAGAAATGAAGCAAGAGGGAGATGGGAATTTTTTTTACTTTCGCGCACACAAAGTGGGGCAGCTAAACACACACCTACCTTCCACTTTGATCACGAACACGTGTGCGCAAAATAGCAAGACAATGGAAGATCAACGCAGTGGTGCAACACGAATAACCGACAGCAATTTCATTCTACACAGAGCTGAGGGAAAGCCCCTAAATGGCTCATTACAGATTAAAAGATGTGGCAAATGAGGCGAACTTTTGATTGCTGGTAGGAAATACCGGAAACTTGAGACAAAAATAAAACAGCCTACGATATTATAGGGAAAAAACCACGGTAGAGTTCTGAAGGGGACGATATACGCCACTAGTTTTGCCTCAATGCACAAATGCACTTGAATCTCCTTAAAGTCTTTATGAAGAAAAATAATAAAAGCGACATAGAGAATTGTCGGCGGAGTGCAAAGTGGACTGTCTAAAACAGACGGAGTGAATCTTTACAAATATAAGGACAGACGCACGTGAGACAGACTAGCATCCATAAGTTCCATAACCAAGTAGACATCCCGAAATTCGTCCAGCGTAGACTGAGGACTAAAGGCATCGAGAAGGGATATGATCTGTAAAGTAATGAAATAAATTAAGCAATAAGGGAACATGTTCAATTGAGCACGCCCTTTATTTAGCCACAACATAAAAACTATCTGAAATAGCGTTGAAAGTGCAAGTTAGCAGGAAACCTAATCAAGAATGGAAGTATTGACCATTCCACAATTAAAACGCATGCGTTAAGATGTAAAAGTACGTGAATAAAATCTTACACATCATAAAAGAAGATAAGGAAGTCAAGTAGGTCAATGACGTAAGGCAGGAAAGTAAACACGGGGGGGGGGGAAATCAGGAAAATGCAAGCCATCATCGTAGCAGCTAGGGCGATATTTCTCAGCGCCCCAACAACGACCGAAAAAAAACCTAAACATGCCACTTGAATCGCTAACTCAGGACAAGGACATAGCAACAGCGAAGGTAAAAAAAACCAGGAATAAGCCGGTGACACTTACATTCCTGTGATTGACGAGTTTCATAAGGACGATCTCACGGTATGCACGCTTTGCATGGGTTACATTTTGGAATGGATGCGTTAGTTTCTTGATCGCAACTTTACGCTGAGAAACCGAGTCAAAAGCGGAGCTATAATGGGAATCGACGAAAGAAATAATGAACTCGTACTTGCGTATAACAAGGCCCGATAAATAACCAAAACGCAACGGAAAGTTGAAGCCAAAACCGTAACCACTCACCCACATAAAGTCTAAGTATATGATAAAATAAGGTGACTGTTTGCACAAACGACAGTCACTCATCACTAGTTGATGTTGCAAGCAATGCCACTTCAGTAAGATTAACAACAAAATCGACTAAAAACGCAATGAACGACTTAGAAAGTTAACTCTGACAATGAATTTCCAAAAAAAGTTCTAAGCATACACAACATAACCCTGAGCACCGGTTCCGATGGGACGCAGTCCAGAATAACGATCGGGAATAACGAATTGCGATTCTCCTACGGTTTCAATGTGAAAATTCGGTGGAATTTGAGGAATGGAAGGGGAATATTCAGTGGAAGTCTCAGTAACCGGCATTATAAACCGACTATAGAAAATAAGAAATCTTATTTCCAGCAGCCGATCAACACAAATTGCACGAGACCGCCGGAAAAATGATTAAGCAAAACAAGCAGAGTTAGATGGTTATATGCTCAAATTTGAAAATTTGATGGGCTCAAAGTTGTAATATTTGCTCAAGGGTCACTTCTTTATTTTTGTTGGTCTTCTTGCATACGGAAATTAACAATTGACTAACTTAATGTACACACAAAAAATGCTGTGTCTTATGTCACAGATGGCTGCAGCATAATCTTAGTTTTAAAAAATTCTAGTAGTAGCATTGCTTTACACTTTGCGCATGATGTTTCCTAGCTTTTGTAGTGCATTGTACAAATTTTTGGATCGGGTTCCTCGCATGTAATACTAGTTCCTAAAAATGGTGTTAGTGCGCTTTTATCTTTTAACTTGTAACGATTAATGGCATTTAGACCCTGATTTCTTATAATCTATTATGCTAAGAAATACCCTTACAGACTTCTGAAATGTGGAACTCAGCAGTTTATTCCTTTTACTGAAATAACTTTTACGGTTATAGAGACGATTTGTAGCTCAGCAAAAAGATAATTCATTTAAGTTTTTCTTTTTTAAAAAGCATTATTATTTCTATACGACTGTTTTACTCTTTTGAATGATTTGTGAAGTTTTGGAAATGATGTTATACCATTTCAAGTCTTTCTTAAGGCTTTACTGCTCATTGCTTGTCTGTTGAGCATGCTGCAAGCTTAAACTCCTTTCGTTTTCAGAGGTGATCTCGTGCTTTTGCTTGTTCACTTTTTCACGCTGCTCACTGCAAAATAGTCGGCGCCCAAAACACCACCCACGAGTCAGTAATAATAGCCATTTCATTTTCACAGAGATAAGAGTATTGTAATACGTTGGTTGTTTGTTACACGGTTGGTCTGGTAACGAGCTTCTTTTGACTTGGCCATTGTACCTCGCCAAGTAGGCTAGCCTTCGGGCCATGTCAGCGACCCTAACGCCTTCTCTATTATGTCTTCTTTAGTCTTCAGGGAAGTCTCGGGACGCTACAATATATTAAAACGCGCGACTCAGCGTTTTTAGACAAGCCCGGTTGATTCGCTTTGGACATATTTATTAAAGGTGACAAGATGGAGAGCGGAAATACAATGTTCAAGAAGGAGGGAAGCTGCAGTCAGTAGGTACGGGAGCGGACCATCTGGTCACGAGGTTTGAATTTCCTGCTTGCCTTCTCCCTGAACGGTACATTAAAACAACATAAGTATTACAATATTGTATCTTAATATCAGCGGTCTACCTCATTGACCTCGTCGTGCTTGATTTTTTATCTGCACTGCGCTGGAAACGTAAGCATTGCGTCCAGAGTCTTCGATGAAGTTTTAGTAAGCCCAAATGATGTTTAATAGTGCTCGTATAAAAATAGCGCACAGAGGCTCTAAAAGGCTCCTGGCGTGACGTAAAAGCCACGTCGCTGAGATGAAATGCAAATTGCTAGGTTCAAAGCAATCGCGTACTCAAATGAACAGCTAAACGAAACGGCAGTGGGCCGCAAAGATTTCTGTAGTACGATAGCGGTTTATCCCTTAGTGCTGGTGAGGCGTTACTTTTGAACTTTGAATTAGCCCTCTTTGGGCCATGCCAATAGCCCAGGCACCTTCTCCGTGCTGAATATAAATTTTTCCGAGTATTGTGCCTTCTTTTTTCCTCAGGGAGTCTCGGGACGCCACATTTTACCTATTTTTTGGATATTCAAGGACAAAAGATGCCCTACGAATTGTGAGCTTTTTAGATAAAACACTATTTGCAGGAACATCTGCCCAAAAGACGGTGGTCATGGTTGTAATACCTTTGCTGTTTGCCTAACTCTCGGTTTTGACGAGGCGGCTGCTTGAATGCTCCAGCATTGTATCCTTGCCGGTTGGGATAGCCGTCAAACTGTCGCCAATGCATTTTTCACCCTGGTATTATGTCTTTCTTCGTCTTCGGTAAAGTCTTAAAGCGCTACATTGGTACCAAAATGGTAGCATCAATGGACAATTTAAATACAGGTTGACAAAATCTGATTCATCGATACAACTCCCATTGTCATAAGTTGTGTGTTAATGTCTGGTAATTGCTGAATGTTGGAATGAGGTTTATCAAAAAATAGTTTCACATTTGTCATTAGTGAATTTCTGTCCAAATGTTCCTTTTTATTCTTTTGCATTATCCGTCTGCATGCTTGACTTCATCATATAATTACGTTCTGGGAGAAAGGAGTAAGTTTTAAAAAGTAAACAACACACAATTATGTACAATTTTTCGTCAGATAGATAAGATTGGTCATTAAAAAAGACTTTAAAAACAGATATTAATGAGTGAACTTTAAATATCATACTTTTGTTTGAATCTACTGCGTGGGGTAGTGTTTGCTGCAACATTGAATTGGATGTGTGCTATGGCACGTAAAGCATTGTTGAGCGTCAATACTGGAACCGACAATTTTTTGCTCAATGACTATTTACCAGCGCTTTCGGAATTCGGTCATGTGGAACCTCACCCTGGTCTACCTAGAGAGAGAACAGTTTTTAATGCCCCAAAAAAGGTAACATTACAGTTACTCCTGGTGTGAGTCTGCAGCTCAAAGTCCCGTTGCTTTCCATTTCATTGACGAAAGTATTTTACTTTTTCAATGGAAGTCGACAATTTTTTCAGAGGTGTAGAATTTTACCAACAATAGGGAGATCTACATTTCTAGTGCTTTTTTATTTTACCTTGGGAGTAAGTCGTGGTGTAAACAAATCATTACTTGGGATTTGTATGTTAGCACGCATTTCTACTCTCTGTCTATCGGATTGTAATTCTTGAGCAAGCCTCTTCCTAGATCTCTTTGTTCCCGTTTTAAACGGAGCACTTTCGTTTCTTTGAATTTTGAAATGGTCGATTGCTACTAATATAGTTGCCTTTTTCTTAATACTACTTTCGTATTCTTTTAAACTAATCCGAAGTCACGATTTTTCAAGTTTAAGTTTGTATTTAACAGGCCGGCAAATCCATCTTAAACTTCGTGGATTCTACCGCACACTTTGGTAACCTTGGCTGCGTGAATTGTTTTCATGCATTTAAAAAATTCTTATCAAATTATTTGCCTTAATGTAGAAAGCGGTGCAATTCCTATACGCTTTCCTCACCTGAATTTCCTGACTTACCCAATAGAGCTCTTAAAAAACGACACATCAGATTTTAACAACTAAAGTTGGAGGTTATTATCGTTTTTGGGATCTTCTAATCACCACGAAAGACTAAATCAACCAATTTTACTGCAAACTGCAGTCTCACGAAACGGTACACGTCTACGACGCCATCGACCCCAAGAAAATGGCAATCTTTAACCCGAGGCTGCGTCGAGATGATAGACGCCACGACAAGCGAGTCGACCTAAACATTTCTGAGGAGGTTAGCTCACATCAAAACATTTTAAGTAATTCTCACATACTTCAGTCGTCTCTTCTACCTCCCTGATACCACCTTAGGAGGATGCGAAGCCGGTTCCGTCAAGAGTTTCATCAGATATTGGACATTACTTGAAGAGACAATGCGATCCACAAGACAGATCTCACGTCCACATTCAACTGGTGGAAAATCAGTTCTTCCGACGCAATGGGGTCGATTTCAAGAACCTCATGGTGGATCAGGATCACTAGAGTGGATTTCCTCCCGCATATTTAAGTACAGATTTGGTAGTGAGCACTTGGGTGATTACTCGTACAAAGAGACCTCCTTTGTTAGGCAAAAGTCCCAGCTTGAAGAACGAATTAGGTATCATAAACATTAGAACTTTGATGCTTTGTTATATCTCAAAATGTCATCCCGGTTAGTTCAATATACTGAATGGAGAAGTAATAAAGTGTTTAGATATCAAGAAAAATTAATTTGAATTTGCGGATTTTGATCGGACAAGGACATATTCTAGGGTTTTATTTGTCATGTGAACCACAATAAGTGGGGAATCTATCTGAAAGTAGTTAAATGCTAAAAAGGTATTCTCCTAGCTTATATTTCGTCCTCCTAAATGTCCCGTTGGGACGTTTCCTATCAGCGAAATCTAATATTCGTCAGTTAGTTTTAACTTGGTGAAACCAACTGAAGCAGTTTAATTGGCTCTTTGAAATACCTAGCTGAATGTCGGATACTCAGTCAAACGATAGTCAGAAATTTGGTTTTGTGTGGTGAAATTGTGAACAGTACATTCGCCTTGCGGGTTGTAATGGTCAAATTCCCTCCCAGACCCTATTCACCTGTGTTTTAGTAATCCTCAATCTGGCTCGTAGTGAGTTCTTACCTACTGCGGATACCATATATATCAGGACGGGCCACTTTCCTGTTTCAAACATTTTAATGAAACTAGTTCTATTACATGGATACGTCTAAATGAGAGTACACGTTCGCCTGACATACTACCTGTGCTTAGATGCCAAATACGTCTGGCCTTCGTGTACACGGAATAAAATTGGCCTATTGTGGTTCCTCATTCTTCAGTCGCGAGTTGAACACTTGAATGCTAAAAGTGGCATGAAAAGTAGAAGAAATGGCGGAAACCTCGATTTGTAAGAGGATATATACAGCGATTAAAGGCACTTCTTTATGTCCTTCAGTCCCACTAAGACGTGCTGACAAAAATTGCAGTTTTAAATTAAGAACTCCCTATTCTATACATTTTAGTAGAGGGTGCAATCAAAGGCTTTCTATGTGGAAAGCTAGAGGTAGTGATGAAGGGTAAAGTAGTGAAGCGGGTCACTTTGTCATGGGCACTTATAAAAAATCAGCAATCGGAAGTAAGCTTGACTTAAACTGGAAAAGTCGCCAAATTTAACGTAGGTGCTTACCACTCTGCCAGAGATTTCTTAATCCGTGTGTAGGCTAAAATGAGGAAGCAGAAATTGGTTGGTCGTAAATTGTACGAAATGTCTGTTAAAAGTACGAAATGTGGAGTAATGTATGAATCAGTTAAAGACAGGAGAAGTTGGTTTATTGCAATTGTTTAATACGCGGTTGTAGAAAAAAAGGAGATGCAATCGTTGAAGATGCCTGAAATTTCTTGTTTAACAGTAGTGTTTAAATTGGGTTCCAAAAAAATCATTCAATTAAATATATTTGCCAGGTGTCAAATTAGTTTCATTAAAGTAGATTACCGTCACAGCCTGTTATTCGCAGTCCATGGTGTGCCCGGTGTGCCATGCAAATGCCAGATTTAAGGAAATATAATCAATACAAAAGGAGATGCCCAACCGCCACCAGATAAGTAATTGGCGCGTGCATAATAGTGCAGGAAAAGGAGAATATCTGCAGAACCACTAGCACCATAAATTTCATGTCATCAGTATAACATATTTGAAAGTTTGGAAGCCACGGGTTGTATATTAATATTATCCTTAATCCATTCGACGTAACGGTTTCTGGTGTCATGAAAGGGATTTGCTACCGCTATTTAAAATGTTTTAGCCACCACTATCAGTCATCGACCTCTGTGAGAGTTGTCAAACAACCCACCACATGCACTGTTTTTTTTAGAAATAAAGGTCTTGATCGAATACTAACATAAACGCTTGGGTCATGAGCACAGGACTTGAAAGTAATAGTTTCAGACTTCCTATTCCACCGAAGGATATTTTTTTAAAAACGAAGTAGGTCGTGAAATGCCACTCAGATTAAGGTGCGCAGAAATGAATTGATGACATGCAATCAGAAAGGGTTGGAAGGTGAAGAGATAGGTTGATGGATATCGGAGGATGAATAAAGGCTGGATGGATACTTGATGGGCGGAAGGATGGAAGGATAGATATAAAAGTAGATAAATCGCTAGATAGCCATAGATATAGATGATCGACAATTTGGAAGTAGACGGAGTAGGCTTATTAAAATGCGAATGGATATGTGAATGAATAGATGGAAGGAAAATAGGGGAATAGTTGGTAGATAATAAATAGAACGATGGCTAGGAAGGGAGATACAAAAGAGCTCACATCTCTCCTGCACATAGGTGCGCACACGTCCAATAATATTTGCACGTCGACTGATCCGATCGAAGGTGAGATCATTGCGAAAAGCACCCAGTCGAACCATTTTTTCTTGCTCGCAGTGAGCCGGTTTGCCATCCCCCATGCTATCAGCAGTGAAGTAGCCGGGAAACGAGAACTCATCAAAGGGATGGGCGGAGCGCACATCTGCTCCGATGCGCTTCCACTCCACTGATGGCACGTCGTTCGGGCGACACTGCGGACGACACTTCTCTGCCGCTTCATCCGATAAGTGCGTGCTTCACGGGAACAAACACAAAGTTGGGAAATAAGGTGATCTCTCCTTCTACCGTCTTTTCTTTGCGTGCAACTGCATTAAAATACCAAGAAGCAAATCATTGTTTTTTTATCAGAAATGTATGATTTTTTAGGTTTTGAGGTAAGGTTCATTCCAAAATTGGGAAGGATCGTGATTGCTGTATCAATGACGTGAAAACAGAGGAAGTGGGAAGACACCAGTATTTTAAATAACTTCTTTTATAGACATTAAAAGTAAGCCTACGCATGGAAAAAAAGTAGAAATTTTTTCTTTTTCCCTTCCGTCTAATTACTGTAGAATCGGGAAGATTAATTGGTGTATGGAAAGGGAATTCATCAACTTGCATTGTACGGTCAGCTTTCAACCATGCAGCTTCAAACGTAGTGAAAAGAGAACCATCTATGTATCACTCATTTTGCATAATAAGGGAAGGAAATATTTAGTTGTACGCAGGTAAAATGGAATGCTATAATGCCATTCAGTTTGGCAAAGAATCAGAGACTTACTACTTCTGATCCTTAATAGTCTCATAAGCAGCTTCAATAGTGTCCCTTGTCTTTTTGCCCGCCCGACCCGTGTGTAGATCAATCATCACCTCAACCAGATCATGCGTACTCAACTGCATTCTCAACTTCTTTAATATCAAATTTATCCGTAATTTATCCGTAATGAAGTGGTGATTGGCTTCCATGCGGGAATCTTCTACTCTCGGCGCATTCCCTATCTCTCCCTTCCACTCCACCGCCCCCGATTCCTTCTTCACGGCTGAAATCACTAAGGGGCGTGGAAATCGAATAACCGCCTGTAAATCAGGAATTTCTTGCCATGCGATTCGACTTGGTGAAGGAGGAATAATAATCCCCCTGCGCGTGATCTCCTTCTGGCTGATTCGATTAAACCAACGTGCCATTTGCTTTGACAGTCCTTCTTCAAGTGAAATTATCGTTAAGGTCTCACCAATTACTGTCTCTACGGGTCCAGTCACTCGTGCTACATTACTCGCTCTCTCATCCACATACTTTTTACGTGCCCTGACTAGCTTCAATGGTTGAATATTCTTTATCGTCATGTCTACGGGTGTAATCACCTGTACTTTCGGTACGTTAACCTCTCCAATTTCACTTCCATGTAAGAAAATATTTCGCCAACGTTTCTGCTGGTCTAGCCAAAGAGGAGGTAGCTTTGTACGGCCAGAAGGTGGAGGGGAAGGTGGAGGAGGTGAAAGAGGAGAAGCACTGTAAACGCTTTCGATCTCCGAGAATTTATGTATAACCGGAGGTAGAGGTTCGCCTACCACTTTGGTCAATTTAAGCTGCAATGTAGGAGGATGAATTGAAGGTAATACAGGAGGCTGATTTGGAGGTGCACTTTTGGCTGTTGATCGTTTATTTATCTTCTTTTCCTTCGTTCCTGTAGGAACCTTAGTGGATCTCGAGATCCTCGATACCGCTTTAAGCGACTCCTTAACAAGGGCGGCTTTTGAAGTGGCAATTTCAGACTCTTCGCTTTTACGCGCTTGTAATTCCCTGAAAAGTAAGAAAATCATGAATAATTTTTACAAGCATAATGAGACGACAGACAAAAGATTACTCATGTGAATACTCTCCTTCCTCCTGCCTCAGTCTCGAGGTCCGATCATAAGCCTTCCTTTTAGCCGTGGCAGATACATCCGCTAGTCGCTCGTAGATAACAGAGAGCTGAAATGGAACAAAATCCATTATTTTTAGTTGATTGGAGTTTTCAAGCTCAAACAAAGGTTCTTGCCAGATGTACTGATTTTAGGAGTAAAAAGGCAAAATGACATGGAGAACGAATGTTTCATACTTTCCTTACTTACAAGTATTGTTTATGTATCCTGTGAAACTAACTACATCAACTCACTCTCCTTTTGGCCGCTTTCATCGCTGCCAGGTGATGTGAACATTTCTCTCGTTGAATCTCTAGCTCCTTATTCTTCTCCAGCAGCTTCACAATATCTTTCTTGCAAAAGTAAAAAAAAGGAGAGCGTAATTTAAGCGGATAATACTCAAAAATTGACATTAAATGAAACCACTCAAAGTAATGTACAATCATTAATTGCTGCAAAATATTCCCAGTATTTCAAAATTTATTGCTTACTTTAAATTTATGCTAAAATTAACAAGTTTACTGTTGGGCTCTTAGCTAATGATTAGCTAGCACAACTGAATTTAAGCCTAAAATATTTCCATCATTAGTTGAATTCAGTTAGCTTTCTGTGAAAAGCGAATTTATTCAACCGGGTGCCATAAAGCGTTGAAGAACACGTGCCACATGTTTAACGCGGGTACCAACAGCTCTAACTTTTAATATGTTTGTTGTAGCTATTACACAGGCCAAACATATTTCGATTTTAAAAGGAGGAGGTCATGAGGTTTGAATAGCATTCAGGCATTGAAATAAGTCTTGTTACAACTAAATTTTAATTTAGCTTTACGCAATCATTTAAAAGAAGTACATACCTCAACATCTACAACATGGGTAGATGGAATTTCCGGAAATTCAGAAATCTAAAATAAAAATTGCGAAAATTATAAGTTGCTTGGAGCTTTGCGCATCTACTGCACCCTACTGACTCAAAATTCAGCATTCACTCAAAGTTCTTTTTGTAATTAGTATTTTGGGGGCGAGAGATGAGATGTTTATTCTTACCCTTTAAGCACTCATAAATGGTGCAAGTTTGTCTAACAATAATTTGGTTAATGTCCTCGAATTTTAAAAATGTTGGTGCAAAATTTACATTTAAATGAAATTAAGAGATAAAATACCAACCGATAAGGAATCTGCCCTTTCTGAACGCATAGTCGAGCCAGGTAGGACATGAGACAGATCTTCTGAAATCTGGGTTTATGCAATTATAGTTGACGTATTCGATTATTTACTTATGTATTGTATATGGTAAAGCACAAAAGCAGTTGGATCCTATACTAATTGGAGCATTTCTGCTGATATTTCGTTCTTTTAAGAAATATGAATTTTACATCTGCTTGTGAGGGCTGGAAGAGTTTCAGAGGTTTGGTACAAACACTTTTGCCTTCTACTCGGAACATTATTCTCAATTCTCATGACCATAAAACTGATTTCTCAAATGTTCACACAGCACAATTTTGAATTTTGGCACTAATTTTCAATTAAAATGAAGCAGTTTGTAGACACATAAAAACGGATTACTACTCACACTCTCCAATTGCTGCTTCGGTGTAATTGGTGAAGTGTATAATTTCTTCATCCGAGGCCTCTCAGTTTCCTAAGAATTAGATAGGCACATCACTACCGGAGTTTTAGAACAAAACTAACCATCATTACAACTCAGACATTAAAATTGTACCTATTTTTATGCCATTTGCTTACACGTGACCTTACTTTTTAAACAAAGGTTCTACTTTTGCGTGAGAAGAAGGATTAGTTCAGAAGATATGGTTCTCTGCATACCGCCTTTTGGCCGCAAACATGTAAAATGATAAACTGTAATTTATTTATTTTCTGATAAACTTTTCACTTTTGTGTTTAAATTACCGTATCCGTGTCGCAGATTAGTGAAACCTCATCAGGAAATAGATCAACAGTTGTTGATATCTCTTTTTGTTGATCCTGCGAGAGAAAATACACAAATGTTAACATTTTATCATAACGATGAGCAAAAAGTGGAGAGGCGATTCGATTGTTACTGTTCGGTTAAAATGTACAATACGCATAAATTCACCAAGCAATGTTCGAGACTGTAAAAACAAAAGTAACTATTTTGCTTAGGGATTTTTACACATTCTTCTCGTTACTTTTCCTTAAATTGGGTTTCATTTATTCAAATAATAATGCTTTCTGATATAGAAAATAGTTGGATTTCACATCATTTGCAGGGTTTTTCCTTATTTAAAAAAATCCATACTGCTAGCTTAAAATGTAATTAACTCTTAATGTTTAGCACCACTATCCTAGCTTTCTTTGCAAATAAGTTAAGTAACTTACTTGTCCTTGATTTTTTAAAAAACGCGCACTAAATACAACGAATAAAAGAACTTTAGAAACGCAGTCTTACCGTAGATTCGTATGTAGCTAGGGTAAGTCTGGTAGCCTCCTCCTAAAAACCATCCATAAACAGTTGCCGAAGTGGGGAACTTTGAGGGAGAGAATAACTTTTAATAGCTTTCCGATTAAACTTAGTGCAAATTGGCTATTATTTACCCCCTCCGTTTTCGTTTCCCCTGACAGTACTTCTGCTGATGGCATTAAAATAGTGCGGACCACTTCCTGTAAAAAGGAATTTAGGAATTGAACGAATACAATGGAGTGTATCGGATGCAGGCAATACTCGATTGTTTGTTTTACTCTTCTTTTTTGTTTAGCGGGCACTGAAAAGTATGGCCATTGTACTTACGCCCACCAATACAATTTTAGCCATGGTATTACGACTTCTAACGTCTTCAACAATGACTTGAGGCGCTACACTGATAGTAGTGGAAAGCAAGCCCAATTCTAAAGGACAACTGTCTCAAAATTCCACAGCTGAGTGATAAATCTTAACGTGACGAAAGAAAGACATATGATGCGGATGAAGGTCTGAAAATGACATCTACCTCCGGCAACTACCTCAGTCTCGCGTTCTGAAGGTAAGCTATTAACAACTAAAGTGACGCTAGCTGGGAAAGTCTGTAACAGAGCTGTCTATGGAGCTCGTATGAAGTTGTCAAATAAGTGGAAAGGCAATATCTTTTTCGGCTTTCTAAAAGCTGGATAGAACCTGGACACACAGACATGGCAAACAAAGCGGCAAGGAGGGATAGATGGAAAGCTTTAATCCTACGAAACTCTTACTAACCGCGTCATTTAGTAAGTGATTCTGCTTTTAGGTTGGTCTTCTTACGACTAGCGAAGTGGTCAGCACATTCCTCCTTCCCACAGTACCATTCCCAAATAGGAAAAATACTCGATAAAAGGGAGAATTAGTAAGGGGATCAGTGGAGTTGCGATTAACTATCTTTTTAGTTGTACGCTTATCCAGTGACTGGTGCGGATGGTTCGTGGGTGTGTTTTGTAGAACACTAGCTAGGCAGTGATGGCCGACGTGGGAGGTTGACCGAGACAAGCGTCGAAGGCGACTCTCAAATGGTGTATTTAGCTCTGCGATTTGGTTCCATCGGCACTAAAGGGTACAAACACTGTGCCTCCGGCGAGCGGAATAGTCTCTGGGTCACATTCTAGTCACATTCTAGTTAGTATCATTGCTTCTTTCTCCTTCAGAAATGATCCCGTGTGCTCCATATTCTCAAATACATATCAAGTAATGGTTTCCACATAACTAACGTGTACATTTATTTCTAACAACAATGAGGAACGTAAACTATACACGGTCTTCCCAAAAGAAAACTGAAACAAATAAAGTGTGAGATCAGATATTTTCTAAAAAGCAACCTTGTAGAACGATTTCCTATGCTATTTACTAGAACTATGATTAGGTTTTACTAGAACACATTCCCAATCAGAACTGGATCTTAATATCGAAAGGAAATCAGTTAAGAGATAATAATAGAGGATATAAATTTATTGAAAAGAAATCTGAATATGCCATTAATTACTTGTAGCCTCATTTTGCCAATTTTCACAGAAGCGATTTCATTCTATTAAACAGGCATGACGCCAAATATGAAAAATGCTAATTTCGCCTTACCATAAAGTGCTCTTTTAGTGGAATTTTAAATTTTGGCTCTCATGTACGCAACACCAGGGCTTCTTCGCTTACCACTTCACCACGGTCGACGGGAATTTTGGTTAAACCTTTCTAAAATTCAAGCAAAGTTCAATTGATGATTTTCTTAAAAGTAGAAACAACTCTTAAAGCATTTGTGCACAAAATGGGTTTTCTTACAAAGTATTGTGCATTATATTATAAATGCATCCTTAAACATTTCTTAAATCTGGTTGGACAATAATTTGATTTTACGAAAATTCTGATTGGATAATATTTAAGCAGTGATGGATTTTTGATCAAAATGCTTATTAAATCTCCAGCAATTCTACAAGTTGCAACAATTTGTTCTGCAGATTTTTGATTTCGCATTATGGATTAAATAAACAAAGCAAACCCACTTCGGACAACCCTTTGGATTTCGTTTTGGCAATCATGACTTTCTTAATTTTGCTTGTTTCTTTTTCTTTGTCACTCTAAGTTTTTAAAGGAAATTCAAAAACACTATTAAAAATTTGTACCTATGAGAATAAGCTAAGAAATAGCAATCTTTACTTAAGTTATTTCAAATTTCATGGCATACTACAGTCCCTTTATGAACATTCCTTATTAAAGTGAGTCAAACTTGCTCCAGAAATATTTCATTTTCTAAAAATTATCACGCAATTTAAAGCTACTAAACATATCCATTGGCACATTCATACTTACCCTAGAGGATTTCGGGGTGGTTATCTCTGATACTTGAGATTTGTGCGCTGCAGCTGTCTTCGAAATTGTACTTATTTTCTGGAATCCCATTTGTGAAAGCTGTTAGACATCAAGTTTATAATTATTCTAAATAACTTGATGGATTTTAGCTGCGCCGGTACAATATAATATGGAAATCTGATGTTGACACAATTTGTGATTCTCTAAAATTTTAACATTCCCAGTGTATCAGAATTTGCACCAGATGTCTTAGTGAAAAAGCATTCACCAGTTTATGTGCAACCAATAAAGAAGTTAATTGGAAATGAAATACCTAGTCAGTAATGAAAAAGTCCACCATGTGGCAGTATTTCTAGCTTTGTGATAGCAAAGTTATGCAGCAAACTACTGAATAAAGGCTTTAAGCTTACCTTCAAGGAATGTGAAAAAACGTACCGGAGATGACGTAGTGGACGCTTGGTTTGCAGAAGCTCGAAAACTCTACATTTGATAAAATTTTTGTGTTCTTATGGGAAAATTAGTCACTTTACCGCCTTGAAATATAATGGAAGGTAGTACATGTTTATAAAGTGCAAACGTGTCATTCTTGATGCTTATTTATTTAATCTTAAGTCAAAAGTGATGATGATGAGGAATTTAGAGGTATTGCGATTGCAAAGAAATGATGCGTCTTACCCCTGCATGTAGTAAATCATTGTTTACTCATTTAAACAATGTTAACTGCCATTTTTATGCACAGAAAAATTGAATGGAGTGGGGTTTAAGACATAGACAATCAACGTAACTAAAATTTGTCTCCATTAAGCTCCCTTAGCTAAGTGAATGAAGTTGTCTGTTTATACGCGTCATAGTCGAGTATATTTTTATCCGCCCTAGGCAAGTTATTTCAACAATGGGAGTTTAAAGGCGAAATCACTTCAACGTACCAGCCACCTGTCTATGACCCTCTCAACGTCCGTAGCACCCACTTCTCTCACTTTGCTCCTTTCTTGTTTTTCGAGTTTCTTTTTCTCCAGTACCTAAGTAAAACAACAGTGCAATCAGCAGTACAGGCAGCAGTCAGTGCAGTCAACTGACTTCTTCAATAGCTTTTTAATCCAAAAGCGTATCATATTTATTGCAGTCAGATAACTTTCTATTAAAATAACATTATATGACTAAATGATTGGTTTTATCTTAATCTACGGTTAGTAAAAAACAACTAAAGACCTACTTTTTTCTTAAAACTCATGTACTATCATAAATATGCCGACTACTTTCTATTTATTTTGACATATACGACCTCTCAAACCAACAGAGATGGTGCCATAACACAGTCAGTAAGTCAGCTTTAAATTATTTCGTGATCTGCTAGTTCATTTTTATATGTTGAGGTGGTGCGGTAAAAAGGTTAAAGTAGGTACCTCTATTTCGTGTTTTATGATTTCATTTACATCCTGGGGATGGAGTCTTAGGGAGTGAACAGCCAACGCTCGTGTTCTTTCAAAGTCATACTTATCTTGCTGTAAAATAAGCAAGAAAAAATACTTTAAAATCGACGTAGAATGCTGTGTTAAGTTTAATATTCTCACCAAGACTAGTCTACGGGCAAAATTTGAGGAATAATTTCGTGCTAAATTAATTACCGTTTTTGAGTAGCTACTACTTACTACTGGTTTGGCAATTAGGTAGAAATGTCTACTTAATCTAATTAAATATCATTAAGAATCACAAAATTCCTCAATTAAGTAAAAAACGAATACTTATCAGCCAAATATTTATAAGTATTTTAAATTCTCTTGACGACCTGCAGGTACAAACTCATATTTGTTTCATTTCTTCAAGTACGATCTTAAAATCATAGTATAATTACGCAGTTTAATTTAACAAATTAACAAAAAATAAGCAAATTTTAGCGTCAATCAGGAATGATAAAGTCTATCGACATCCCTTTTCTAAGTATTTATCTATGCTATCACTCAGTCTACCTACATCGACGAATGCTTGTGAGTCAGTGTATTCCAGGTAGCTTTTGAGAGGTTCACGTTCACTCTCCTCAATTCGTAATCGCCTACCAACGGCATCCAGCACTTCAAACGGCAGTTCTTGAATATATGCTTGAGGTAGTTCAACGAAGAATTCTAGACAAGAGTAAACAACTGGATCTAGCGATTGATAAGTAATGTCCTCCAGTGACATCTAAAGGTGAACGAAATCTCAAGTGAAGAGGCAACTATTTTTCGTACTTTTGCCTGCTAAATGACAGAGCAGAGTAAATGAATATCGTTTTACAGTGCCTTTGCATCATGCATCAGTGTCTCAACACCTATAGACTTTCCATCTTTGCCACTTTCCTAACATCTAACCCACCGCAATCATCACCAATTGTTGGGAATTTGCCATCCGCGAAAATTTCCTGAAGAAGAAAATTTGATCATTTCTTTTTTAGAAAGTCACATATTAATTATTTTCACTAACCTTGTATTGGTCCTCCAGGTCTGTACAGTACTGTTTTCAGAAGATAAAAATGAGAATGGTTTTTCACAAAGTAATAAATATTTAGGTTAATTATTCTACTAATGTATTAGGTTATTCAGAGCTCTTGCAGCTAGAGAGGGTGATTTGTTAATTAAAATGAGGTACTGCATTAACTTTCACAAATGATGGGTATGCACAACGTCAAAATTACATCAAAGTTGCTCGTGAACTCCTTGATTGGTACACTGAAGCACTGTAAAACCTCCATCATAGCACGACACTGGTTGTAAGCCATTTGTCTCTCATCCTTTTGAAAATCGTTTTTATTTAGCGCAATCAACATGAGATCAAGCAAATCTTGCAATGTGCTGCTGACAAACAGCGTTGCAACTTCAGCACTGAGAGCATGAACACTGTTGAAAAAGGGAAATGGAATGCAATAGTAAACCTACTTTAAACTAACCAGTAAAATGTTAAAGAGAAGATGGCTAGGTGTTTATAGATAATAAAACTGCAGTAAAAACTGTTACTCTTCTTACTCAATAAGTGTGATGACTTCAAGGAAAACTTCCCTGTCCTGATCAACAATCTCAGGCATAATTGAAAAAAGGCATCGCGCTGTGGTTCCAGCCATTTCAATTTTCCGCTTTCTCCACTTCATGAATGCCTCCAATTTGTTAGTCTGTTTCTGTGTTGGGGAAAGTTCATAAAAAATTTCGCCTTCGAGATTTTTCTACAAGACAGTAAACAGTCTCCCTCCCATTGGAACTTGGTGCATCCTTTTTAAGTGCAGTCAAATAAAATATTATACATGAGTATGCTTACCTTGAGCAGGGAGAACTGCTTAGAATGTTCTGCTTGCCCAACTTCCTTGAATTTTTTGTATAGTGGCACCAATTCATTACGAAAAGTTCTTTCAAAAATGGCCTTTAAAGTAGGAAGAATTTATTCATGTCTGCGTAGTAGCCAAACTAATGCTTCATTTTCCTATTACAGAATAGACTTAGGTTAATAGAGGGCTAAAACAAAATAAAACGCTTTGTAAAAGTAATATTTGTCAGGATCAAAATTCATTCTCCAGCCTGTACTTTGCAGTGTTTCTTCATAACTTACATCATGCAAACGCTCCTTGATTTCCTCCGTAAGTGAATCAGAAAGGGGTGCAAATTGAATTGTTTCATTAATCGGCTCACTTGACATTTTGAAACTTTCTTCCTCTGAGTCAGCACTGCCCAACCTTGAGTCCGCCCTTCTTCCATGAAACGTTACCGCATGCCACGGTTGGGGTGTATTCGCGTCCACAAATTTTGTCAGAGACTGGGGTATGTGATGCAAGTACCGCTGAGGTAAGCACATCTTTGTTTCTTGTTGCGATTTCAAATGGATAAATGAAAAACACTTTAAACCGGAAGCACACCATTATTGTACGTCATCTTAAAACGGACAGGAAATTAAGGCATAATCTTTCGCAATTGGCATTTTTACGGTGGTTTCAAAAATTTAGAAGCTTCAAAATCGGCTACTTATTGTTAAGGTAATGCGTGAATGGCTAGTTTAACTCGCATTTTTAACGAAGAACCTTTAAGGAACTCCGCCATTGTGCCTTCCCCGAGCAGCCATGACTCTGGACCATGCCAAGAGACCTAGTCCCTTCTGTAGACCGACAAAATATACTCTACCTAAGCACAACGTTTTCTTTCATTTTCAGGAAAGTCCCAAGGCCCAACATTAGCGGCAGCAGAAAGCAAACCTGGTCTTAAGAAACAACGTGCCGGAAGAAGTGCTAAAGCTGAAGATGGAAGAAATGGTGATGACTCCTAGCAGAAGGTCTGAAAATAACATTTGCCATGGACAACTGCCCTAATCTCATGTTCTAAAGGGAGGCTATTAATAAGTGAAGCAAAACTAGTCATGAACTATCTTTAAACTTTGTGGCATAGATGTCCACCTTGTCTGTAGGCAGATATCTTCTGCATACTTCAGCTTTCAAATCGAGTTATTCGCTTTTTTATTCACGTACAAATCAGATGATTATATAATGTCAGTCATAATTCTTTAGGTAACTACAAACACCTACCTCATGGGAAAAGGTCTAACATTTTAGGTACTACTACCTCTAAACTCAAATGCATACAAATAAATGCAATAATTTAAAAGTGAGCGAGAGAAACATGAATCGGGTGACACTTAAATGATAATCACCTGTATTTTTTAGAAGGATTGGATGTTCAAAGTTCCCTGGAAATAAGGTCTACAGAAAGGGCTTCAGAATATGGTTATCAAGAGCAACAAAGTTAACGCCTATTAATCCGACAACTTACTCCACCAAACTGCATAAGTTCTGGATATTCCTACAAAATGCAAACATTTAGATTGAGGCAACAGCATCATAATATGAAGACCAAATTAAATTGCCCATTTTTGTCAGTAATTGGGGAAGAATTTTTACTGTGCAATATGGTCAAAAGTCTTTGACCTAAGTAGTTATATTAATCAATTTTAGCCTAATTTGTTACATATTGTGAACTGCATAATGCAAAGATTGCCGACATTATTCTATTTACAGACATTTTGTCTAAAAACAATCAGTAGTTAGGCAGATGCAACTTACTTGCAATTGTTTCTCATACTCCTCGACATCGAGCTTAAACCAACAAAGCACATCGAGATTAGTACGCACTTGATCGTAAATATTAAACCGTTGCTCATCTTCAATCTCAAAATCGGGGTCAAGGAGGGTATACAGGTCAGTAACCTCCACCAAAACTGACTCGAGAAGAACTTTCAGCGCTTCGCCAGTAAATTGGCCGCGTCTAGATGCAAAACAATTTGATCTTGGTCTCTTAAATATTGGAATATCAAACTTATATGCTAAAATATCGAAAGATTTCGTTCAATTCCGAATTTGTAGAAATAAATAACCCAAATCTTTTGCATATCCTTCACTTAGGATCACATCTGAAAAATGCAGTTGCATAATAAACCATTGTTTTGAATGGATATTGGCTTGTACAATAGTCAAATTAAAGATTTTGATAAATCAAATTTGTTCTTATTCTTAAGCAGCTAATAAAATTACGCATTTGAAAACTATCGCCAGCTTTCATTATTTTCTCACAGTAGGATTTTGGCTCTAGCTTCATAAACTACAGGTTGGTTTATACCTCTGCAAGTCTGCAACACGCATGAAGAGCTCGTAACGGTCGGCTACTTTTTCTGGCATGGTGATCCACAGAATTCTCTCAAGAGTGTTCAAATCTTGTTGATCTCTTTGGCTCATTTCCAGCTCCTCGATGATATTCTGCAGTTGGTATTTCGCCACATCCACGTGATAGGGAGGTAGAGGGGGTGTGAGTGATATCTAAAATTAAAGATGTGTATCCACTTGTCCAAGAAGGTTTTGATGGAATAAATGAAAATCTAAACCATTTTTACATTAGTTGCAGTGGTATAACATTAATTTACCTCTGTCACGGCAAAAAAAGACACCAAAATAATAACATCGTATTTCAAAAACCAGCATCAATTTTTGTCAAGAACGTAAAATGTCAAAAAGATTACACTTTTAATCAATTGAAATACAAGTTTGCTGTATGCCTTAATTAGTTGCCTAACTTATCCTTTTAGTTTCGTGGACACCTGAGGCTTCTCCCATGTACTTCCGCCTTGATTAATGGCCGCCGGCACATGCCAGCGGCCCCTAGCCATTCTACTTATCGCTAATACCTTTTCTGCCCTGGTATTAATAATTTTTTGACATGAGAAAAGACTTAGGGCTATGCATTGGTAACCAATTACTCGGATTTTTTTCCCCGAATACCAAACTTTAACGTGAAGGAATAAAGGCAAATGCTACAGCGAGGAGAAAATTTGGAGCTGACGCCTACCTTTGGCAACTGCCCTAGTCTCATGTCCTGCAGCCAAGCTATTAACGAATAAATTGGAACTAGCCATAGCCACAAACCATCTTGAATCAGTCGTAACGGAGCTGCCTACAGTACTCGTGTTAAGAAATCAATTGAGTGAGCACGCAATGCCTTCTTCACCTCTCAACAAGCCGGATAGAACGCAGGAAGGTAGATAAATATGGCTTAAAGCAATGAAGCGGGAACAAAGTAGTAAATGGGAACAAACGCGACCCCTAATTCCCACGTCACTGTTATAAACCCCTTCCTTTATTAGATGACTCGTTTTAAGATGCTGTTCTTAGGAAAGGCGATGGACATTAAGGTCAAATATCTCAGTTGCACAGTAATTCGGTGACTGGTGCGATTGGCTCGCGGGTATTTTCTTACAGCACCGACCACGTTATAATGATTGATGCAAAAGGTTAACTACGGAAAAAATCGGGGACGACGCTCTGAAGAACGTGAGGGTCAGGTTATGCTTTGTTTTGATTTTAAGGGCGCTAGAGGCTTCACCCTTGTACTTCCACTGGATGGCATGGCCTCTGGGTTATGCCGGTATCTTCCAGCCCTTCTGCTTATCATTAATACGTTTTCTGTCCTATGATCATGACTTCTCTCGTCTTCAGAAAAGACACAGAATGCAACAGTTATAACAACAAAAAATAGCTTCTGCTAGAAAAGATTTTCATTAAGTGACTTATACCACGTTTACAGAGAAAAAGTGCCAGCTACGTTATGCTAAATGAGCAGTTGCGCTTTATTGGGGTGGATACGATAAGATCTTATAAGTTATTTAATAATATTTGGTTAATCTGACCTATTGCTTAACTTGATTTACTCATTTACTCATTACCGACTTCTATTTACATTTCCTTTTCTCAGTCGAACAGGTAAGCGTAAGCCTAATATTTATACCAAAACAATAAATCATTCTGATTATTTTCTTCCTCAATTTTCCAAATAATTCTGCCTAGTTAGTTGTAAGATGCATATTTCATGCAAATGATATGCTTTAAAAGCTTAGTGAGTGCAAAGACAGCTTTAAAGCTATGTGATGATTTCCTGGTAAAGACGCTTAAAGAATTTTCCGAGCGGTAAATTCTAAAATCTTGAGCATTCATTTTGATCAATTTATGCAATTTATTTAAATAGGAGAAAAGATTATTAGGCTAAATCAAAACCAGAGATTAAGTCTTCTATGATGGTTGAGAGACTTTAATATTGAATTAGAATCCATGATAAAGTACTAAATTTTCCAGATTCTATGGCAAAATGAAATCCTAATTTATAAACCGCTACAAACGAAGGCTCAGTAAAATGTGTGATAGGCGTCAAAGTGCTTGAAAGTGTATATTTCAGTGAATATAGAGGACGTATCTTGAAATAGATAAAAATAAGTTCAAGGTTGCAACCAAATTATTTTTAGATCGTTAAATTTGACACACTTAAAGAGCGAATTCTTGATTTAAAAATTCAAGAGGGCTGGTGCAGAATCAAACTCACGAATTCTATTTCCCCGGGTGACTCCTTTTCCGTCTTGCGTGATCGACCTCGATTAATTTGGGTACGGGTCCTCTCTAATCGCGTCTCTAGCGTCTCTACCTCTTCGATCTCGGGGCTGGATGCTCCCATGAGCCTTGCGGCCTCCTCCTCATCTTCCAACCTTTGAATAATTTTAACCACTGCTCGCCCAAGCTCCATCGCATCTATGCTCTCAAGATCGAGACTGCAGTAAAAAAATCATTTAATTAAGTTTTTTACTGGGCTTCTTAAAGCTGTATCAAAAGTTAAAATGAGGGTACTTAAGTAGACTTGCTCCTTTCAATACTGTAATAAGTAAATCATTCGGTATAATTTTGTTTATCTTAGACGTTATTTTACACACATACCTTAAAGAACGGTGCCTACAAGTTACGGAGTTGCCACAGGTTGGAATACAAATGATTGCCATTATACTTGATTTGATGAAGCCTCTTTTCAGATCAATTCTACTCACTGAATCCACAAATCCCATAAGTACAATTCTAGCAATCTTCAATAGCTGGCTGGTTGTTTAGCTTCCTCCTGGTGTTTTTTGTTTGTTTCGCAGTGACCAAAAGGTTCGGTCGTATAAGGTAGTACTTAAAATGACTTTCCACCTGTGTGCGATTCTGCGTATGTATTCATTACAAACCATTGGCGTTCTCTATTGTGCATTCTGATGGTTTGCTTATTTTAATCCTCATGCGCTCTTTGTCTTGTGAACCTGATGGATGTGATTTGAGCTTGTTTACTCTAGGAATAAAAGTTGACTAGGTACCAAAGCAGCAGAGATTTCTTGTTATTTTTGTAGCGTTTAGAGACGTTAAAGTCTATGGTAGCTGAATGCAAGATCCGGAATAAGTATAAAATTCTATTCTGGTAGCAAACTACTTTTTTCCATTATAAGGAATTACATGTCACCATCGATTGAAGTGATTCAATACTAAAATATCGAGTGATCATAAAACAACCAAAGGAGGATTCGTGGCAAAAGCTAAGCAAGTGAGCCTCATCCCTATTCACTAATAGATGACAAGCAGCTTCAGAGTCAACAGACAACTCCCTCTTGACTTAATTTTGCATCTTCTGTAAAACGCTATTTTTAGAATGACTGACCGGCCGGTGATGAAAAGTGTTTTTTGCATTCCCAAGCTAGGCTAACAATTGCATATTTGACTATCCTCCACCAGTCCATCCACAATCCACCTCACACTTCTGAGGCACGCACAATTCCACCCTCAAAAGACTGTGCATGTTTTGTGTGTGTACGTGCGGATTATAGTCAGAATCCCCTACATGTAGAGGGCCAGACAATTCCAGCTGAGACCTATCCCCCGAAAAAGAGGCTTTTAAAAATAGTGTAAGAAAGACACTCATTTTCTTCTTCTCTTCCTCTATCTTTATCAAAAACAGCCATGTCGATGCAGCTGAAGAATTCATTGGATTAAATAGATATAAGACTGAATCGTGAGGGTGGCTGCACATTAGCTGGTTAGGAGGGGAGAGAGGAGAGGGTGGAGAAAAATGAATGGAAGGGAAAATGAGTGGAAGGGAGCCACTCATCAATCCTTTCCGTTCTATGGCGCTTATTTTCCCTCAAGTTACATTAATCACATTTTGGCATAGCACAAGTGCGGAGGAAATAGACAGTGAAGAGGTAAAAAAGAGGCAAGAACAAGTGTTGTTAAGTTTTTCTTTCTAGTGCCTAAAATTTTTAATGGATAGTTTGTGGAAAGCTTTTAAGAAAGGATGGTGGATTATGCACAGATGATATCTTATAGCACCTGCTCCAGATATGTAATTGTGTTGGTAGCCACTATGGCTGCGAAGCTCTTGTTAAACTTTGCCTACTTTTGCAAAAGGTTTAAGTGAAGTCAAGCACACCTTTAAATCAAAATCCCTATCAGTTTTTGGTGACATTTTAAGTTTATTAAACATGACCCAAGTTCTTTACATCTTTAAAGTATAATCCTCTTTGAAGTTGGAATGAACCGAATACTTTCCTTCTACCATAGATCACAGTTTTAAATTCCCATTCATTATTCAGATTAATCAGGCCTCGAATTTCGGAGTTTAATCATTAGCCGTTGATATCGTGCAGCTACCATTATGTCATAGTTTTGTGATGGTGAGCAGACGTGTGTTTTCAAATCACCTCCAAAACTGCAACGTTATAGTGAAAAGGTGAAAATTTATGTAACGCTTAGAAAAAACGCAAATGTTTACCTTTGTGACGACCTTAACTCCGCCACATTAAACACCGCCGGATTCTCCACTACCTTTTGCGCCATCCTCATCAGACTCGATCGAGTTTCTTGTAGTTCGCTCCCATATGCTTCATAGAGCCGTTTGGCTAACATATCCTCTGGAACATCTTCAAATGTTTCAACATCAACAAACGGGTTCTCAGCAGCGGTCGATGTGGATGGTATGCCTTTACTCATTCTGGGTAACCATACCACCTCTGATTCACTCGATTCGGCACTCATCTCCCCTTCTGTGATGGTCGACTGTTTTTCTGCTAGCGGAAGATCCACTGAGATGGTAAAGGAGGTGGTAGATGAGGAGGATGGTGATTTTCTTTCTATGTCACTAGAGGATGGAGTAGACATGGAGTAGGTGGATTCGGTCTCTTCTAAGGCTTCTTTGATGTATTTTGGACCGTCAGGAGCAAAACGGAAGTTTTGGATGATTTGGCCATAGCTGGAGAGGCTCTTCTGACTTGTCTCCGTGGTGGTTAACAGCAGCTCACCAAGATCAACATTGGGAACCACTGGGATTTTTGGAAAGGGATCATTACATTTGACAATTGCATCGGTAATGGATTTTCGCATCATTGAGACCTTTATTTAGAAGAACAAATAACAAGCGTAGTATCAATATCAAAAACATTAGCTCAAAGAGGAATTACGCTTTTATGTGATATACATTTATGCGTGGAAAATATGCCAAGAAACAAAATATATCACAAGGAGCATGAGATGTACCTGAAGATGGGACAGATAGCGGTATGTGTTGACCCCTAATTGCTTGAGCTGTTTAATGATGCGTCGACCGACCTCCAAGTAAATGGCATTCTCTCCAGCATCAAGTTCTCTAGTGCGCACTTCGGTGACAATCTTTCGGTAGAGCAAATCCCACATATGCCTCACCGTCTCTCTCACGCTCTCCAGGACTAAAAAGTGTCTTAAGAATTGAGAGAAGACTCTCAATTATGATTAGTTAACATCTATGCGATTTCTTAGTTCAAGGGCTGTTTTCAGTACATTCAACAATGTCTTCTTATCAACGCAAATCAGGGCTGTCTTATATTGTTCATTTCACCATTATGTAATTTAAGGACTTACTTTAACAAAATGCCAGCTAGATCAATCATTTCGAGGAGTTGAACGGCCTTTGCATTGATAGCAGAGCGAAGGAGGACCAGAACAATTCGATTTGGTTCAAGCCCAATGTAGGGTTCTAGGAAACCTTCACATGACACTGCTCTTTTTAATTCCTCTACCTAAAAGATCAGATAGTTATTTACGAATTCATATATGTCGGTATGTTAAGTGAATGCAAAATTCAAGCCTTTAAAGCAATGTTTTAGCTAGTTTAATGGTCGGAACGTGATCTCCTGAACGTCCAATTATAGCCGGCTCAAACTTTCAAATTAAATTCTATTCTAGTTGTGCTTTATTCAGTTTACTTATATTCATATTTATATAAGTGATGTAATCAACCTTTTGACCATAGCCAAACAAATGGAATAACACAACTAATTTTTGAAAGGAGCTATGCAGATATCCAAATGATTTTGTTGCTCGAAGATATAAAACCTAACGTCTATGGGGAGTAAAATACTGTAAGCAGTACGGTCTCCTTTAAAAAGAAAGAGAAAGCCTAGTTAGAATCAAATAATTGGGAATTTGAGCTATAATTAACCATCGTATTTACAACCACATCACAATACTAACACCTACAAATTTTAAACTCTGCTTGTCATTTTTATTTTGGATTCCCAACCTAACAGGTGGCTTTACTCTGAAGCTGAATTTACAATTATCAAATCCTTCTATAACATTTGTCAACCTTGGATCTTCAATCGCATTAACACGTTTTGTACTAAACGTTGGAGGACGCTGTTTGCCTGATGTATACTGCTGTGATCTTGACTGCCTTTCCAGTTGAATTCATTTCCTTTGAAGCAAATCTCACCTGTGCGTGATTTGCAGGTTTAGGCAGGAAAATTGAAGCGTCATGTGTAGCACTAGTGACGCGCGTATTAATTACACGATCAGTTCCGTCTTCATACAGTTTGTTGTCCTCCATGGCTTGATGCCAGTCCCACCTAATTTTCCCATCTGAAGTCTTTTTGTAGCAGTTTCATTTTGTTTACAACACTTTATTTGTCTGCCTCCCAGCGAACATCACTGAAGCTACCATTAATGAACGAACCGAGTAGGAGCATCACGTGATGCATTCTTATATGAATTAAGCGGAAAAGATGTTTAGGTCACCTGCTATCAAAACCCTGGAATCCAAAAGTCGCCTATCAGAGTGTTACTATTGTTTTATTCTAGTATGGCACCACGTGCTTTCATTTTGGCTTCCCTTTTATTCAAATCTACTTTCTTTAAAGTACCTCTCATCTATGCATAAAATCCAGGCTCAAGCAGGGATTTTGGAGAGTCACGTGCAATGCTAGTAGCAAGCGTGCTAACTACACAAGCTTTACAGCCTTTACAAATTTCGGCCACCATCCTGGTTTCATGATATTCCCTTCTCCTCCTCCTCCTTCTCCTCCATACTATCAGCAAAGTCTCATTCCGACCTACAGCCTATGCCATCTCCAGGGCGAAGTAGGACGTTAAATCTTGTTAAGACGGCATTTTGAAGGAGTGTTTTCTCCCTGATAGTGCGTAAAGTAAAAGGTTTTTAACCTAGAGCACGGCCAAGATGAGTGTAATTAGTTGCATTGAAAAGCCTAAATATTTACTGGTAGTCCCACAACGAATTCTTACTGCTTTTGCTGCTATGGTCGTGGACGCAAATGGACCAACATCAGAACTCCTTAGTTGCTTTTCCATATACCAGATTGGGGAAGGAAAATTTGGGCGTCACATATGTGACTCTAGTAGCCAAAGTGCTGGCATACTTTAAGCCAGTTAACAGGTTAACAAAAACATTGCACAGATTGATGCCACTTCAAATGTCAGTGCTTGAAAACTGAAATAAATGATTGGCACATACTCACCCGTTTACTCAGTCTCGTATCAATAGAGCTAATGTCACTCTGATGCAGAACTTCTAAAATAGAAAATATTTTATGATTATCATTCAATAGACCAAAGGAGCCTTGTTTGTAGCTGAAAACGAGGGCGCATGCACAATGTCACCTGCTTTAATTAGGCTAGTGGTATGTAGGCACTACAAGTGCAGTGCTATTAAAGGTGAAAAAAAAAGCTGAGGAGCCTCGAAAGACTAGTTTCATTGAGCTGATTCATCCGATAAAAGAGGATTACCGACTCTAAGGCAGTTATCCAAAATTCCTCAAATTTGTTTACTCTACTGCTTGATCTTATTCATCATCATATTTTTCCCAAAATTTTCTGACCGGCTACTGTTTGATAAAGTGCATTTGTTAAAAAATTTAGTATTTATATAAAAATTTCGTACCGCTGATGTCGCCTGGATTCTTATTGATAAAATAGATATCCGATGCTGAAATATAAATAAAGTTACATACACCTATTCACGCGGGTTAAAACAGGCACTATTTTAACGCAAGTGAAATGAAATGATCATCAGACTAGGCCAAAGCAGCGAATTGTTTTATTTCTTCCATTAAATAAGATAAAATAAGGAATTACGCAGCTCTGTCAGTCCAGTTACTTGCATGGTGACTTTCGAAGGACCAAATTTCGCTACCTCTCCTTTGACGGCCGAAAACTGTGAAGGCTCTTTTGAGGCCTGTCGATTGGAAACAGCCAAATCTTCTACCAAATCAGCTACCTGTTTTGGTAGAAGGGTAAATGGCTTTTAATCTTTGACTTATATTAACTTTCTAGACAACTGGTTAGAAGGCTGGGTAGAGATTTAGCTTAATTAAGGTGTTGGTTTTATTTGATCTGTCCAAGCCTTTGCTTTGCTAAATTCGTAATTGAATTTGAGGATCTATGAGGCCTACCTCCATGGAAAGCACTGACCCTCCCGTAAAACTTGGACTTCGCGTAGGAATTTCATCGATAATCTCATTAGTTAGGGTAATCTGACTAGATAATTCATCCACTTCAATGGATTCAAAGAAAGGGAGAGTTTTTTTCTCTTCATCTATCGACTCCTCCACCTCTTCCTCGGCCTTTTTACTTCTGCCGCTGTCTTCACTGATGCTTTCTGTGTGGATTCCTTCAGACCTGCTCTGTCTACTTTTATATATGTGATAGCCACTTTCATTGACTTCTTCTTACTCCTTCGTTTTTCCTGACAAATCGCACTTGGGTCTGGAGTCTTCTCTTCGATGGTGCCAGGTATTGGTTCCGCTGTAGGCACTGTGATGATAATGGGTGTCCTGCGTCTGTGTCGATATTCCTGCAAACCTTGTTGATGCTTTTGGATCTGATATTCCAACTCCTTCTGTCGCTTTCGAATGCGGGATAGTCTCTTAGCTGTCTCCTCATCGCTTTTCTAAAAAAAGGAAAAGCATAATTCTCCTCAAAAAAGTGATATTGCAGAGAGTCACTGAAATGTTTTGTGAATGATAATATATTTAATCACTACGGCTAAAAATGCATATAAAACTTTTGCTTTCAATAAGGTTTTTCTTCGTGACTGTTTTTTTTGGGCAGCAAACATCTCCCACTCTTTGTCCGAAAAGTGAAGAATTGTAGGGAAACTATATTTGATCAAATTTGATCTAATGTCGAATCTTGGGGGTTATCAAACATGGTCACCAGTGAGTTTCCTAAACAAACAGAAAATGAACTTGGCAATACTGTAGTCTGTCACTAAACAAAAAACATTCAATCAAAAATTGCGCTTTGGAATGTATTGAAATTAGTGAACTAGAAAAACACACTTTGCTTTAAAAATGCTGTGGATAGTGCTGGTTTTTATGCATTCTTAGTAGCTACAAAGTCAATTCTGATATAAAAATTGAACTTTTGCACTTTGTAATACAAAATTTAGCCCTTAAATTCTAGTGCTAGTCTTTAAAAATAAAACATTTGTAGTTTTGGAAAATTATGAAGGCTTTGGAAGGGCTGAGAAGATGTTGCTCTACCGTCTATCTAAAATTTTGTGTTTATTGGTGCGCAGCATTCTCAAAATCTTGAAACCAAAATAGCCTATTTGCATCAGTGTCGTCGTTCCTCAAAGTGCCTTTCATCTGCCATAGATATCATTCTCAAATTCCTTTGCACATTTCGCAAAAAACATGCATTTACACTTTCGTTATACAGGATCCTAAAAAGTCCCATGTCTAAATGTCTTTCACCAAATACAGGAAGCCCACTAAATCGGTAAAAGTATCTAATATTGGCAGCATATTTACAGCAACATCGCTAATGTGGGGCTGACTTTCGAGGTTCCTAAACTAAAGATAATTTGCAAAGATGATCACAAAGACCCACCAACTTTCCAGTAATACAATCTCTAAGGATCCCCAAGTACGTCTCCAACTCCTCTTCTTCGCAGCGCTTGAGAGCATTGAGAAGCCCTTGAATAATCTCCACCTTTGCTCCGGTCAGGCCCTCCATCCTCCTCATTGGAATTTTAGCACCCCCGAGACATCCTACAATAATCTGGTTTACCTCATCTGCACTTATTTCAAGCTGCGTCCTCAGGCTATTTATCACAATTTCTTTAAGTGCTGCAAATTTTTGCACAAAGGCCTTCACGAAATTCTCATTTCCTGCCGCTTCTATCAATCTTGCTGCGGCATCTTTGTATTCGTTGGATTCAAATTCAGATCTTCGATAGATCTCCATAAACTTTAAAGCAGACTTCGCGGAACCCAGAGCGTTTGATAAAAGAGTCATTAGCCAGCGTGGTTTTGTGATAGTACGAAGAAAGATGGAGGCTGATTCTTCACCCAAATAGGCTTTGATTTTTCGCGATGCAACTTTGCTACGATTTAGGGCTTCTGAGATCCTCAGTGCCGTTCTATTCCTGCTGCCAAAATGATGTTCAAGGAGAAGTAGTGCACTATTCATTTCATCATCATTGAAAAAATCCTCCTTTTCTGATACTTCTGTGAAAGACTCTGTAGATTCTGATTTTGATTTTTTGGCATCAGGTCGTTTCTTTCGGACTGAAACGTGTGTTTAATACTTAAAACAACTGTTGAATTTTCATCAAAATATACAGCAATGATAACAAAAAATAACCACAATTTGGTACTAGAATAAGTTAATTTAAATAATTACTTTTAAAAGATATAAAAGAGTACATAAGGCCTCCCATATTATGTTAAAAATTTGCCACAATTTAACAAAAAATTTCATCACTGGTTATATGCCCAGGGTCTCCAATGGCAACTATAAAAAAATGTAACAGAAATTTACGGAAAGATGAGAGCTGACTGCTAATTTTACAAAAGTTTTAGAGCTGTACTCCTATTCTTTGTGATTTTAACTCCTCGGTTTGGTTTTGTGCACTTGACTTTAGTAATCCGAAACAGCGGACTCAAGTAAGAAGCTCCCATTTTCATTTTAAGTGCCTATCAACTCAATCGACTTTATCTACTAAGCATGTCATCTTCTTTTAATAGAGGAATTTTTCTCTCCTCCCTTATCCAAATTAAAATTTTTTCAGCACAATATTGACTTTAACAAGTTTAGAGCTTTCAATAGGAAAAAGCAAAGCAAAAAAAGCTGCTAAAGGTCTTTGGAGGAAAGATCTCTATTTGACAAAGTTTTCATTTGCGAAAACCCATTTAAAGGTAGCTAGTTAAAAAGAACTTTAACATTTTAAAGTTGGCCGACGGTTGTTCTTTGAGATAGTTTGCAATGGAAAAAAGGCTAAGAGCGATTCTCCTCAATGTTTTGAAAATTATTTCTTGTAAAATCTGTTGCTAGGGAAGTAACATACAAAAAGTACCATTCAAAAATTTTGATTAGAAAGAGGCAAAAAACTAAAATTCTAAAAGCTATTTAAAACAGCTTGTGTAAGGTAGGTTATTTAAGTGGTTTCGGACTACTATATCAAGACCTACTCTTCTGTTCAAAGTTCAAAAGTAGTGAGATCTTTGTTTTAACTTTTTCAACTACTTTGGTGCCTCGTCTCCTCCCAATACCCTGAAGTTGGGCACCCACTCGCTTATCACAAGTAGCATCCAATTCCATCAGAGATTTTGAGGCCAGGACCATCTCGTCCTTTGAAATATGCGCTTGTGTTTTGGATGCATCCTTTGGCTTTATAGTAAATGGTGTGGTCAATTCACTGCTGCGCCTCGTATCTTCACCCTGCATCACGGGAACGTCTGTTTTACGGTGCCCTTAGCATGTGATAGTCACGAACAACTGTTCGTGGGACAATCATCAGTATGATATTTCATCTTAGTCATCTGGGTCCACCGATGATGCATGAAGGTATGAATGTGGATCGGCATCCAAGTTGAACAATGTGTACTTTATGATTTAGCTGGCTGATACTAGCACCGATAGGATCTCCTTCAACCGCATATCTACTACCTAAGCAACTAAACTAATTAACCCGACTTTTGGTTGGTCATTTTTATTATTACTTTTGATGAATTTGGAAGCGTTTTTTGAAAAACAACTGATAAACTGCCTAAAGTTCCCGAAAACTCACAAAGACAGTGGCTGTGAGAAGTGCAAGCTCGCGTTTAGCAACGTAACTTGGATCCGCCCAAAATTTCTAAAATAAAGTCAAGTGAAAATTCGAAAAAAACTTGTTTGGAAGCATTTTAGCTATTTTGGATTAATAAGGCAGTAAAGTTAGAGATTACGGACATTTTCGGATCGTTTATTGCTATCTGAGTCTTCAAATTTGACAGCCGAACTCCCTGTACTTACTTTCGGTAAGAAAATCATTTTAGCTTGATTTGCAAATGCCGTTTCGCTGCTTAGTCACCAGAGCGACTTTTGAATTCTGACTTGAGAAATAAATAACATTAAAGTTTGAAGTCTTCCTGAAGATAAATGCTGCATAAAATGAATTATTAATTGAGAAAAGTGGTGCCAATGAATTCTACAAGCGTTGGTTTCCCATAGTAACTTTACAGAAGTTGGTACTTATTTATTTTTAACGTCGTGTTTTTCCTACAAGTATTTCTTTTTCTCAAAAAGTTGTTTTTAGACAATTATATTGGGTTTGTTTATGAAATATCATTTAAGATTAGGAAAAATCCACTAAGCCGTGTGCAACTTTGATTAGCTTTGTATAATATGGAGATGGAATTGCACCTCTTCTTTCACTGCAACATATAATTATTAAAAGGGATTACCAACTTTTGAAGAGATGTAAAAGATTTTTCATGTTCTATTGAGTTTGGGATAAAACCTAAAATAAAGGGACTAAATGTAAAGTACAAACCGCTATGAGTTAATCATCAAAATGAAAATTTTATAGCATAACATTTATATAAAATAAGCAAATTCGAAATTGGCTTTTCTAGACAAAGCAAAATATGAGATTGAATACTAGAGCCAAAATGCAGGAATTTTCCTTCTATTTGGATTGCATTCCCTTGGCATGAAATATGCATTTCTGATATCTACACCAGTGTATTTGTGATAGTAACAAAGGAATCTGATTTTTGGTATCACTGCAATAACCGAAAAGCTAATTAGTTGTATTTAACAATTTTAATGCAGGCCTTTAAACCGAGGTTTTTTTCAAGAAGTGGTATTAGGAAAATTGGAGTTGCTATGTGATTTTCAAGTGTACGAAAATGTAATGCATGGAGTCTTAATGCCATGACCAACGTCTTTTTTGCTGTTAAAGCCCGATAACACACAAGTATCCAAAGTATTTTAATTAAAAAGCAAAAAGGAAAAAAAATTAAAATTAACAGGTAAACTTGTAGGATACAACGTCAGGTATAATTTCAAATTCTCTCATTCAGGTGATGACTTATTTCATATATTCTTAGCCTTACTACTAAAGAACCTTAGTGACCAGTAAACTCATTACTAATTGCTGTCAGGGATTTACAGACTGCTAATCTGTAGGTAATTATGGGACAACTGCGACTAAACTAACTTTTGTTGATTTCGTACTTGACGATAAAATCTTAGAAATCTTTATGTTACTTTTAAGCAAGTGGTTTTAGCTAATTCGATTTTATTAACCACGAAAATGGGAATTGACGGTGGGCATCTTGTCAGAAAATAATGCAGGCTACTTTAAAGAAAATGAATTTACTGGAATTACTTACCATCTATCGCTACAATATGGTTGGGTAATCTCTGCGCTTCAAACATCATGTTCTTAAACACCACATTTGCTTCTTCAATTGGGCAAACGAGCGGGTAGGGATAAAATGGAGTATTTAACACACAAGCCGCCTGCCACACAGGATAGCATATGGAGTAGGCGAGGGGCCAGAAGAACTCCACATCGTCTTCATGCACCGTGAGTCGAGCTGTGTCCGACGTGGTCCCGGTTTCTTCCGAATCATGGAAGTCGCTCCTTTCAGCTAAGGAATTGCTGGTATTTGTGGGTGGACAGAAGCAAAGCATGCTGATGTAGCCTTACTCTGCTTTTGTTACACGTGCAATCGATCGGTGAGTAAACAATCAATAGCATTCAATTCTAAGGGACTAATTAATTCGAATTTCATTGGTTAGGAACTAAGGTTCTTTTTGGATAATTGGTCGAATTTGTTGTAAGTGAGTTAAAAAAAACCACTTTTGCATCTTATTTTTGGCATCAAACCTGATTTTCTGGTATAATCTTTTTATTTTTATTTTTTTAATTTCAGTTGAAATTTGTGTGCAATGTTCATGTATTCCCGAATGGTAGCGCAGTTTTTAGTGGTATTTGGCAGTAAATGTAATTCAACCTACTTTTGGAAAGTCCTTCTTCTTCATACAAATTATTATTTATGCTTTTGGAAGTAAATGAAATGAAGTTTGAAGCAAATGCTAGATATTTGAATTTAACCCGACAAGAGTAACGCTAATTAAGGCGCTAACACAGTCATTCACTATGATCTTTCGACACTTCATTCACAAAGACCGTATTTGTTGCCTCCCTCAAAGCTGTTTATTCACCTATTAGTACTATTTGCGCCTCCAACATTCTACAGCAATATCAAGCGTTTTGTTTGTTTTTTTGTGATTTATCTAGATAAATATCTTGTTAATAGATTTCCATTAATTTTCTGATAAATCCGGTGTGCCTCTGGGTTAAAGATTTAAAAATTGCATTAATTAATACAAACCACGAGTAAATAAAACAGTTATGAGGGACTTAGAGGTCTCGAAAGAAGTGTGCATACTCGACTTATACCGACAAAACTTATTAAAAAGGAATAAATAATGTCGCTAACGCATAAAGGAGATACCGACGTTTCTTTAAATGATAAAGAAGTTTTGTTATAAAAAATGCATTGCACTTTTACCAATGGAAATGGTAAATATTATCCTGCTCATTTCATGTCTTTACAAATTAGAATGGTTACTACATACTGTAGGTCTTCATCGATAAGTGGCTGTTTTAGTGTTTTAGACTTATCTGAAATTAGGTTGTATGATGTATGCTCCAGCTCTGGCTTGGTGCAGGAGTTCGATGATGCTTTATCATGGATATATGCAAGAGCTTGTGGTGCGTCAACAAAATGCCATGAAAAGAACGTAAGGATCACCTAGATTGTGACCAAAGAACTATCAGCCTAATATGTTTATTGACTCTAAAATAAAGCAACAAATTGGATTTAAAACATAAAAAAGGGTTATTCCCAGATAATTTCACTTTTTTGAATAGAAGTAAACTAAAATTTAACTGTAGTTTATGTTACTAACAATGAAACCAAAGAAAAGGTCTCGTCTTTTGACATTTCCTGCGAACCTATTAGGCAACTTTTCAATGATTTCAAAATGGACCTAGTTTGTGGTACGTACTGCAGGTAGAAAATAAATTGCTGCTGTACCCATTAGTTGGGTAATCTAAAAATTCGACTCACAGTGAGCATAAAGGTCTATTTCTGAGATTGAGCTTTCAAAAACTTTTCCTCCTCGGAAGTGAATGGTGTCCTATATGTCATGAAGATCTTATTATTTCACCGCTCCTTACCCTACAGGTGCATGTAACGAACATACACTACACCACAAAATTGTTTTAGGTGAAAACATTAACAAACTCCAAGAGGTAATTTGCAGTTGCTTGGAAAAATCCCAGCACATCGATTATTCTTCCCTAAAGCGGAATCGTTCATACTTCCCATTAAGAATGCCTAAAACGCTAATTTTTGTCTGCTTCATAAAGGGCCTGAGCACATAATTGCGGGTCTGACCGAAAACAGAACCTGGAATATAGAACAAATTAGGACTGCCCCCAAACATATGAAAGCCTAGAGTTGGAGAGACATCAAAATGAATGAAGCAAGTATCTACCAAAGCATGCTCTCATTTAAAGTTCTGTCAGTATACAAACATTTAATACCAGAATAAAAGAGTTGAAATAAACAGCGGTGTGGAGAGATGGCGTTAAATTTGAGTTATGCAAAAAATGTTTATTAAGCTGTTGTTATTTTGGAGTAATGCGATTAGAGTTAATTGTTTCATGCTAAAAGAGAGCATCTAGTCACGCAAATATCCACTGTCTAGTTCTCCTTTTTAATTGGAGCAATTAAGTGGTCTGACGCACCACTTTGTGTTCTAACTCCCATAATCTCTCCCTTCCAGTCTCGCTCTTTAAGTCCTAATTTCACCGTTTTATACTAGCTGCCTTCATTTCTCATTGTGACAGCAATGCACCAATCAGCAGGTTGACACCTTTTATTACCCCAAATAATTAGTCCCACATCGGAAAATGAGAAGATAAAAGATTTTCTCTCACAAACTCAACATTATTTGCATGGGAACGAACAAACGAGACGGAAATTGGAATACCATAGTTTCTCAGTAATGTAGACAATTTATTAATACACTTTCTATGGAAATCACTTATATACGTATATCTGAAACCAGGATTTTATCATCTGAGCTCGAAATTACATGTAGCTTGTGTTTCCTCTCAGTCTTTTAAAGTGGGCTGCACCAAAGTTTGTTGTGAACGGATTAGTCGAGCTCACAACAATAAATTGAATTTGGCATCTTCTCAGTCTGAGGATTATTACACCTTCATTTTCAAAATGTTGTAAATGCCACTCAGGTTGTAAGGGTTGGTGACCCTCACCAAGATTAATTGAGGGTAGGGAATTGTCACCTGACCACAGAGGTATTGGTATGGCTCCCTTTTACAAGGGCGTTTTCTTCAGATAACGTTGGCACCTATTTACAAG